TATGTTTTTGTGGTAACCAACAATGAATCACCGCCAGTTCAAGCAAAAATCCCCCAAACAATAAAATAAGAAACAAAGCACAACGAAACACATAAGCCCCAAAATGTCGGTGTCCTAATTATCGTCCATTCCAGAGGCGCTGGCTGCAGCATGCGGGCCGTGCCACTCTGAACTCTCTCTCATGTAACTCGCCTTATAACGGCCCCGCGTCCTTCCTTCAGCAGCAGCCCTGGAAAGTCAAAGCTTATAATGTGTAGGGTGAAATATCTTTTTGAGGCGAGGTGAAAAAAAAAAAAGACGGGACTCGGTGAAGTATCCGTGTATTCCCCAAGACCGCATTTGATGTACCATTATATCCGTAATGAATCAATGATCTGTCGTTTCTCCATCTCTTTCCCGGCGGAAGTCCTACCGTAGTGTACAATGTCGTGTGTCTAATTACGGTGAGCAGTTGCATCATGCAGGGATCGTACCTCCAAAAAGAAAGTTTGAAAAACTGCGCCTCTCATAATTCAAGTAGAGTGCCCCTCCCACAAAGGTTCAGACGTGGGGGTCATTTGACAGACTTAACTTGCTCCCGTATAGGCCGGGGAACGCCTCGTCTTGACTCTTGGGATGTGGTAAATTACGGGCTATTTCTTCTGGGACTCTAGGACTTTTGCAGTCAGGAGCATCGAAGCAGTGGCACACATCAGAATTCAACTGTCCACCGCACGGATGCAAATGTCTCAACGGTCGTTCAAAGTTGATGACCTATGCCTTGCATGACTCATTTCTTGAGCTAGGTATCTGGTTCCATTTCCCTGCAGGACCAAGATGACCTCCAAACGCCAAGCCAAATCCTATCCTACCAAGTTCCTGTAATGTAACAAACTTTGCGGCGGCGCCGTTACTTCGTCCCATATCCATCGCATTGCATTGATGCTGCGACGAGAGGGCTTCTTGACAGCTTGTCAGCCATCACCATGCCATCAGGCTAGGCGGCAGGTTCGGGTACTCCTTTCCGTCAATGGTCTCGCTACCAAATGGGTATTGTGAATCCGTCGCACCCTCTTCATTCTCTCCGCCGCTGCTTTCCGTCTCAAACTCCTCGACACCGTCGAGACCTCTCTTCCAGCTAGCCTTGCAACTGCCGGGGACGTACTTGGCTGCGTCCATAGCTAGCGTGAGCTTGACCTCGGGACAGTAGTCCCAAATGTGTCTTCGTAGAGCTGGAGTACCCCAGATGGCGCTGTGAAGCCAGATGCCGCTACCACCGGTGTGATAGCCCATGGGCTCATAAAAGCCCTCGCGGTAATCATCAATGCCCGAGACGAGTTCACCGTTTTCAGCCGCCTCGAGTGTCGCGTTGACTCCTCCTTTGTTGATCTTTGTGCCTTCGCCGGCGTGCATCTCGCCGCTGAACGTCAATGATACAGTGCCGTTAGCGACCTTACTTCCGGGTCGGTGAGCGAGCCGCTCAGCAAGCCAGACATCCTCAGGTTCAGATCCGTCAACACGCTTCTGATTTCGGAGGATATCGATCATGGCGCTGACACGACGGATGGAGAGGCCACCGTTGCCGCCCCATCTGCCGCCAGGGTTCCATGGGGCTCCAATCCAATCATACTCGAGGTAGTCGTTGATGTTCTGCTTACTGTTGGCGCAGAGGATGCTGTCGGTCTGGAATACGAGGAGCCACTCAGCAGGCTGCAGGACGGTCTCGTACAGCCAAAGGTTGGTCAAGAATCGACTGATCATCTCCTGACCGGCCGTGCTCATGTTGGAAGGGATGTACGTTAGGTCGAGCTTGCCGGCAGCGACTTGCTCACGAATCGCAACGGACGAGTTGATAGCCTTGACGGACTCAATAGAGCCCATGAAGCGGAAACGCCAGTCGGGAGGCACGACGGAGATGAAGTGCAGCATCAATGGCGCAAGAATGGGGTTGGCGCGGTTCTCGACGAGAAGGGCGACTTTGGAATGGTTGTAGGGTGAATGTGCGTATTCAAGGGAGATTTGCGGTACGGTCATCGTCTTGAGAGTGGGCAACGATAGCCATATCGAGAAACCACTGCCACGATGCGGTCAGTACTCGCCAACATTACGAGGAAATCAAGCTGGAATTTTCTGGGTCATTGACTAACAGGAAGAGCACGAAAGCCCCAAAGACTCTCATGCGGCGGCTCGTCAGGGCCCAAACCGAGAGGAGCAGGGCCTTGGTGTGCTGCCAGACGTCTGACATGGTCTTCTCGCCGCTGACAGCAGGCCGCGGTAGCGAGGCCATTGTTAGGACGAGAAGGCCAAAAAATGGCAGAAAAGGCCTGGGTGAGCGTGAAGATGGAGACAGTCGTAGTAATAGTAATGAAAGGTGATCTCTGAGAGATTTCAGTCGCAGTGGCCACTCGAGCCTGGAGCGGCTTCGAGAGCGGGCGTACTCGCGAGTCGCAGATCCGTCCGGTCCACAGAGATTACGCAAGTGTTGATGGCGTGGATGCGTCGGTAGCGTTGCAGGGGAATTAAGGCATGTCCGGTCCTGCGGCTGGTGACGACGACGACAACAGCTGACTCTTGTCGAATAGACGAGCTACTCGATCGGTCGACTGGTCGTAGCCCGAATGATGAATTCGGTGGATGTGTTCAACAGAAGAGTTGAAATTGAGAAAGTGAACTGGTGGAGAAAGAGAGAGAGAGAGAGAGGAAACAAGAAGAGACGATAGGGTGAAGGAAAGGAGTGATGGGGAACTTTGGGCAGGTACGATGTGCACATGCACCACTAGGTATCCTGAGGAAGGTACGGTGTGGTGGCAGACTGGCAGCTCCTCCCTCGACAGCGACTAAGACGCAATGAGAGACAGATGGAATTATCTGATGAAAAGACAGGACGTCCCTTGCCTTTGCCTTCAATTCCCAGGGCGAGGGCTGCTCCTCTTTGCAGTTCCTTAGCCTGCTGCTTCCATGCTCATTCACGTCCCTCCACTCCTCCGGACCCTTTCCCCCCTTTCCTTGGCAGGTGTCCACGCCAGCCCGGGGCCGGACGGGGAAAAAAAGAGACCAGCGCGAGCGAGAGAGATGTGGCAGCGGATTCCAATCAACAGGCCAGGCCCTTGGTCGTGGAAGTTTCAAGCAAAGGGAAGCCAATGAGATGTTCTAGTGGGCTCCCATTGGCGAAGCGTCTCCAAAAGCAACATTGGAGCCATGGGCCCATGGATGATGCCCCCCGTGGCCGCGTCGATGAATCTTGCCGTCTTCCCTTGCTGCCCACGTCGCCGTCTGTAGCCCAGCCCTTGTCAAACCGCGCAATGCAGCCAGCCACTGTTGCAGTGTCTAATTTGGGTCAAGTACTGCACCTGTACCTGCAAGTACCCTTTCCTTCTCTCACCTCCACCATCCACGGGCACGTTCGATTCGATGGTCGGGTGCGATAGCGATGGCGATGGCGACTGGTAATCCTTGCAGGTAATCAGCGAGCCTGATCGTCCAGTCTGTCTGTCTCCAGGCCACACCATCAGGCGCCCCGTCTTCCACGGCCCCCTCTGTACGGATACATCCCTCTTTTCTCCATCCCAAGAACTTAGAAGCAGTCTGGAGGGACGGACGAGGAACGTCACGCCACCATCGTGCCTCCCTCCCTTTTAACCTGCATGCTGTGTAGTGAGGACGATACTTGGATACGAAGCGCCACAGAGAGTCGTGGGTCAGCGTCAGCTTTCCCTCACAAGAATGAAGCGACAGTGAGCGGCTAAACTGTACTGCGTATCCAAGAGGAAATCAAGACAGCCGGGCACTTTCGTCCCATGACGATACGGATACCCTGATTCAAGAACCGAGCTCGAGGGTATCTACAGCCTCATCCCAGCCAAGAGTTCCCCATCCCCAAACAAAGCGACCCCCAACCGAGGGGTACCATGCCCAGCTATTTCGTGCAGCGCAACCAACAATCACCACCCCGAGCCAGTCTCTCGGTATCGCCGGCCGTGACACCCATAATCCGGCTGCATTAAAGACCAGGGTTTGGACCCAAGGCGCCCAGTGGGACGGTAGTCGGCACGTCGTAGACCGTACCACGCAGGCAGGCTTTGGATCGGTGATCATTGAACAATAACTACCAATTCACCACCTCTTCCAAGTAAGCTCTCGCAAGGGAAGAGCCTCGCACAGCAAGTGGTGATGGCCTTTTTTCGACTTCAACCGCGCCACGTCGATTTAATCTCAAGTCTTCTTCGCCACGGAGATATTATGCAAGGGCGCACAAGGGAGACCGCGCAAGCTCCATGTCTCAAGTTTTCGATAGGCATCGATACGACGACTGACTTCCACTTAAACTTTGCTGCGACGAAAGCATGTTGAAGGTTGGAACGGCGTACAGTATTCGTACGGATGCGCCGTGACACAATGATACTGGTGGCTGTCAGCTTAACGCGCCACCATTAACATGTTCCTCACCAGAGCTCACATCCGCGACAGTCGGACAGAGACCAGTGACAGTCTGTGAGAGACTAGGGACGAGAGGTCGTGGATAAGCGAGCGACTGTGCTGCCTTCCGCTGCTTCGCCGCACGCATGCATGTACGAAGAAGGACGCCCCGTCAGCCTGGACGCAGTATTGTATTGCCCACAAACATGGAAGAGGCTTTCCCGAACATCCCAAGTCTGTAGCGGCACAGCCCAATGCAAGGCTCGGTGCATGGTCCCTGCTGAGCATACTCAGGGCTTACTTGGATTTTGCGGCTTGCCTCGTCCAAGCAAGGAGCAAAGAGAATCAAATAGGCTTCGTCTTTTCAAGGTTCAGCTTTCAAATTCCACCTGACACAGTTGTCTTGTGCGGTCGCATTCTCGTTGTCTCACGCGAGGAGCGCGACAGGCGGGGCGGGCGCAGATGAGTCTTGGTACAGAGTAGAGGCGACTCATTAAAAGCAGAGATTCACTTCTCTTGAGGAGGAGAAATGTCGCCTTCACTTCTCAGTGCTGACCATGGCGTTCCTTTTCCTAGGATTAGCGTGGAAATAATGGTGCGCAATCTGGTCGGCAACTGCAGGGCTGGCCGACGGCACGTCCGTTCTTTGCAAGGAATCAAAGACTGACAGCGCGCTCGGAAATGATCTTGTCACTGACGGGCAGGCGTTTGTACATCGTCTGGAGTTGTTCGAGAGCCGTGCGCTACTCCGTTGAAGATGGAGGTTATGTGATCGAGTAATGATGGTTCCCAGCACTGCACGAGTTTGGGCGATAGGTGGTAGGATTGGCGAACGGGTGCAACACGAGATGAAGCTCTCCTCGATGGTAAGAAAGCCATTGCTGGGATGCAGTCGAGTTTTTGATACAAGATGTTGGGTTGATGGCGGTAATGCACTTGGAACCTTGTTTTGTTCGAGACGGCATCGCATCTCGGCCGGAAGACGAGACCGAATGGCAGACTGCCGCCGCAGTGAGGAAAGGAAAGGAAAGGAAAGGAACTGTCCAGTGTGTCTCCCAGATTGTGTGGCAGATGGTGGTGATGTGGCTTCCAGTGCAAATGGAAGGGAGGCACCCGGGCAATGTGGGGCTAGCGGGAGGAACCCTTCCCTGCGGGCTGCATGCCACCACGTCCCCGACGGCACCAAAAGAAGAAGGGAAGGAAATGGGAAAGTGGACACCTCTTGCTGTGTGCTGCGTACGGAGTAGGTACGAAGTACGGATAGAGAAAGGTACATCCGAGTACCTGCCCGTCACTCGCACCTTCCATCGTCTCCCTGCGCCCATGTGCTGGGCGTTACAGGGTGGGACCTCCACACTACAGAGTACTTGGGAGTGCCGTTCCAGCTCTACGATGGGGCTACATACTCCGTACAGACTGCAGGGCGGCAAGGTAACTTCGACCTCGACTTCCAATTCCATACGCAGCAGTAGTCAGGCCCCACTTCCTCCCACATCTTCCGCCAAGCGTCTCTCTCTCTTACACTGCTCTCACTTTTGCCTGCAAGCTTCCAGTCCAGCCTTCAAGCGGGCGGTTGACCGCCTATCGATATTGGGATCGGTTGATCGAAGCCAGGTTTTCCCCCTCTTTCCCGGCTTCCATTCCAGGACCCTGCACATAGTAGAACGAGTGGGATCTCGGTGACATTCGACCCTACCGTGCATACCTTTTCGTCCAGAACCAGCACTTACCCACTGCCACCAGTGAAGCGCCGTTCCGCAGCCTGCAGACGCGATTCGTCATCTAACAAACTTCGCCGTCCTCTCTATCTCTGGACTATTGAGCGGCCCGCGGAACCCCTTGTATTTCGTTTTTCGTTTTTCTTCTTTCCCTCGGAGCATCTCTCTCCCTTGGGACTACCGAAGACACTTGTCTCTTGCTGCTGCCGCTTCTTACTGCACTGCACCTCAACTCCAAGACCAATCTGACCGCACCGGCCGAGTCTCGAGTCCCTGAGAATTCCTTGCCAACGCCCTTGGAAAGCTGAATCACTACCAAGAGTTCCGTCTGTCCACAACACGTCCACAACACGAAACCAAGTCCATATTGGCATTCAGTCTCGGCGGTTTCAACACGTGGTCGACATGACGCGACTCTAACCAGCAACTTTCAGTCAAGCCAGAGAATTTCCGATTTTCCAGCCTCCGATTGCTTCGACCTTTTACAATCGATTCTACTTCATCACTGCGATACAGTCCCTGACGCCGTCCCATTCTCTCGTTTGCGCCGTGCTCTTGCTGCGCCGTTCCTGGACGTTCATATTTCAGCGACATGGGCGCCACGAATGGCTCTTCCGGCGTCTTCGCCATCACCAAGACCCGACTTTTGCTAGTTGCGTCGCTGGCCATCACGTTCGTATTTCCCGTCGCAAACTTGCTCAAAGCATCGTCGCCACCGAATGACATGCTGACTACATTTGCAGATGGTGGTTTGCTCATCTCCTGCCGAGCTACAAGCCTATGATCAAGGCCGAGTTCAAGTCAAGATTGGACGAGGCTCGTCAGAAGATGCCCAAGATCAAGGTTGACTGGAAACCCGACCTGACCAAGGACCCGAGATCCAACTACAATGCATCCAAGATAGCATTGATTATCGAGCCGCGCCCTATCCCGCATCTCGTACCCCAGCTATTGCACATGACCTCGGTCGTGCCTCCCGATTGGAGATTCCTATTCATCGGCTCCAACAAGAGCGTTGTCAGCGTCGCCCGGAGCTACGGCATCAAGCACCAGCAAGTCATTGGAAAGCTCGACTTGATGGTCCTCCCTGAGCCCTGGCAAATCGACACTAAGGAGCACGTCTTTCGACTGTTGACTGATATTCGCTTTTACGAAGAGTTCCTCCCTGGCGTCGAATGGATCCTCAAGTTCGAGTCCGACAGCATCCTCTGTTCCAACTCACCGACCAGCCTCAACGAGTGGCTCGAATGGAGCTGGGCTGGCGCGCCCAGGTATGTCTCTCTGTCGGAGATATCCCTTTGAGCTCTCCCTTACTAATCTCATCCACAGGACCCCTGATGATCGCTTCTCCGGCAATGGCGGCCTTTCTCTCCGCCGAGTCTCGTCCATCAAGAGAGTTTTGCAATTCCAGGAAAGATACAACGACACTGAAGCCGAAGACGAATGGTACGGGAAGCGACTCTGGGTCATGCAGGGCGAAAAAGTAGCCCACGGCAGAAAGGGTGTTTTGGCAGTGGAAGACGTCTACATGGAGAAGCCCATGGGTTACCACGTTAAGGATGGCGGCCAGGGCATTTCTGACAAGGTGTGGAAGAATCCCACACAACGGAAGAAGATTTTCGACTACTGTCCAGAGCTCAGCTTGATCATGGATATGAAGTTGGAGCGCGAGCGTTGCGATGGCGACAACAAAGAAGGCAGCATTGGCCCAACGGACGATGAGAAAGAAAAGGCTGCTGAAGAGGCCAAGAAGCAAGCCGAAGAAGCTGCCAAGAAGCAGCAAGAAGAGGAAGAACGCCGGAAAAAGGAAGGCGAAGAGGAGAAGCAAAAACAAGCAGAAGAAGAGCGCAGAAAGGCCGAGCAGGGTTCGGAAGTCACCAAGGCAGATATCGATGAGCTTCTCAGCGAGGACGACATGCTCAAGCTCGACTACGGTGCTGGCGGCAGTGGCGCTTCAGGGTCCAGCTCAACAGATGCCGATGACGCCGACGCAAAGGCGAAGGCCATGGCTGCTGCGGCGCAGGCAAAGGCTGCCGAGAAGGCTCAGAACGCCTAAGTCTGATGGTCGACCGATGAGAAGACTGGTGTGCACCCCCAAAGCGTGTCCGGGTCCCACAACGGGTCTCGGCAACCCGAACTGACAATCAACACTCGGTTCTCGGCGTGCCGAGCCTCGTAGTTTGAGGACGTTGAGCATCTAGTTCAGTACGATAACAAACAACGCTGAGAAGAAGGCGTTCAAGCTGTTGTGGCGAAGAGCGAGTTGAAGGCAAGGACCATGGCCAGACTGACGGATGGCAGCCCGTATCGTAGGGTTGTGGCGTTTGGCGATGACCGAGGATACCGCAAACAGCCATGCGGAGAGGACCTACTCGCCTTTTAAGCGACGTCACTTGTAAGAACAACGAATGGCCCGATAATGGATTTGATATACCAGTTCCGGAGAGGGAGGGATGTGGCGTCGGGGCGTACTGGAGTTATGAACAGCCCAACCTTATCCAATAAAGTCGCAGCCGGAATGTCGGCACGTCAGTCAGCGCAGATCAGGCAGCTGATGTGGAATGATGTTGGGCAAAAGACAGCAATCGAATGATATTTTCTTCGCAACACAAATCTGCTTGCAAGTGGACCATCACACGATCCGAGTAGTAGTGCCTCCGCGATATGTTACACAACGCACCAGTGTCGATGACTACTACCTTAACCCATTCCCACGCCCATGGGTCAACTAGGCTCGGCTAATACGGCTGGCACGGCTGGTTCCCGATTCTGGGGATTAACTTGTAAGCAAACTTTTGGGCTCAGATCGATCTAGCCAAGCGACGACAAGTCCTGCGCTGGGATGTGCACGATTGACTTGATCTTCCTGCATGTTGCATCTGCAAAGGCTTTGTTCGCTTGCGTGCGGCGCAGAGTTCAGTTGACGTTCAAAGTTTCCTCATCTACAGACTGCGATTGTCCATGAATGTCAAAGCTCGCATGCTTGCTTGTGATACCAAGCTGCCGGATCGTCTGCGTCTGTTCTGACCTGAACTATGTGGCTAAGCACTTCACGTATTCCACGCTTCCATGCTTCCGTGCCCTGTATGACTAACAGCCACATCCTTTTGCTGCTAATGTATTAGGGGGGAGCTGTCAATGCCAAGACCACATGGTCTCGAGGTCAGACTGTCAGTGAAAGGAGCGATGGGTAACCACACACAATGGGATTTGAATAGATGGGCTAGACTTCAGGAGAAAATTCCACCAAAACCTGGCCAAGAAGTTTACCAAGATGGCCGTGTGTCAGGGCGGACGGGCTCACCTGCGGTGGTGCAGCAATGCCAAGGGTCTAGGTTTCCCAACGTTGCAGTGCATCTCACTCTCTACCTTACTCCTCGGAGAAAGCCAAGGAGTTTACGAGCGTAGGTTTTACCTAAGCTATTCGCAGAGACCGAAAGAAGATTAACTACTCCGTACGCTAGGAGGAGAAAGAAGAGTGGGAGGGTGAGTGACAGAGAGAGAGAGAGAGAGAGAGGCTCAGCATGGAGCAATGAAAGATGGGATCGGCCGGGAACCTGTCTTGCCCGTCCGCATCCGTCCAATTTCTATTTTTCTCTCCGATCTTGTACGAGCGAAACCCAATTCTTGGCCAGTTCGTCCGAAGCCGCTACTGCCAGGCACCGAGCCCGTCTTCGACTAGAGCCAATCTAGCATGCCCCTCCCACACAGCGTAGGTATGGACGTTCTCGACCCTGAACTCATGGGTATGGAATGGGGGCATTGGAACGGATACTGTCTTACAATCTTTATCCGTACATACAAACACCACATCACGCACCAACAAGCACACATGGGATCGATTCTCTGGGCGCGAAAGGAAGAAAAAAAAAAGCGCCACCCCGGCTTTCCCAGGAGCGGCAGGGCTTGTGTCTCTGTTCCTATCCGTACCGGTCCTGGCTGACTTTCTTTCTTTTTGCCCGGCGAGATCTGGGTTAGGTCGTTGGTCTCTTTCCCCCTCCCCCCCCCCCCCCCCTCGGACCCGTGGTCCAACGATGTTTGCCCGCAGCGTGGCATTCTTTCCGTGATCCATCACATACACACTCGAAAGCCCCCCCATGGATGAGCAGGTGTAGGTATTCCCGTCGGTGCGTCTCCGTCAAGCCACTTGGCGTTGCTACGGCGTCCCACATCTGCTCGACGGTCCGTCAAAGTCGCAACCGGTGGCTTGTTCCGCCTACTAGCCCCGCCATGACCGCGTTGCTCTCGTGGTGTGTGGTGTGGTGGTGGAAGGTCTCGCCTTCGCCTTTCCGCTCCTCTCGCCTCTCTTCTCGTCTATCCGTACCTACGTCGGTTACGATCATGACCTCTATCCGTCGTCCCTCTTGTCGGGTTTTTCGCTGTCTTCGGCATGGTCTCACCCTAATAAGCTTGCCCATCGAATCTTTTTTATCGGCCGCGAACTGGGGTGGTACACAATCCATCTTGGCGCCAGATGGACCCCTTCTGGATAGGCAGAGGTAAAAAAAAATGTGTGGGACGATTTGCGGAGTGAATCGAGGAACAAGCGCGTCATTGTCGTTCTCTCTCTCTCTGTCCCATTCCATTGAATCCATGATGTGGTGCTCTTTCTATCCGTCCCGGACGGCGCGAGCTTTGGGGTCCCTTTCGACGCCACACTAACTTTCCCGTACCCGGCAGACCTGCTCCCAAGCTAGTCCTCGCGATCCTCCAATTTCCATTGTGGTATTGCTCGGTCCTTCCAGTCGGATGGGGGAGGGGTGGTGTGTGGGGGGGGGCGTGTAAGTGCGTGTGTCTTTTTGCGGCCATCGCCAAATCTGGCTATGGGAGAAGTCTCTCATGGAGAATGTCACTGTATGCCGTTTTCTACTGCGACATCGACATGAACGCCTCCGCCCCCCGATCTTCGATCTTCCCTGTATATAACACTGGGGACCGCACGGGTTCTTCAAGATATTATTCCTTCTCGGTATCCCTCTATCAAGGTGCTTCAGTATCCTAACAAAGAAAGCCTAAGAGCACTCTTTCATCTCTTAGGTTGTTTTCTTCTCGAGTTTTTGTTTCCTTGTAGACAATCTTTTTGAGTAGTTTTCTACGACTTACATCAACCTAATCACCGGGTTATTAGTAATTGTTTCCTATTTTCCTCAGTCTCAACAGAGTAGTTCATCATGCGTTGGACACCTGTTGTACTAGCCACCCTTGCAGGGCTACAAGCAGCTCATGCTCACGACGAGGATGAAGTTCCTCACCCGAATATGGTCTTGCCTCGTCTTCGCGATGTAGACGAGCTGAGGCAGAGACGGAATGCCTTCGAGCCCTGGAATCCGCCGACGGTAGCCAACAAGCCACGCGCGGACCGCGTGAAACTCAGCCCTCGCCAGACGTCATCAATCCCGTTGGGAGATAACTCGCAGTGTGGTGGAACATACGGCAGATGTGCCGATGGGTACTGCTGCTCAGCTTCAGGGTATGTTGGATGTACTAAGATGCTCGACCTGTCAACAGTTGTCGACTAACAATGTAAACAGATGGTGTGGTCAGAGTGAGCAATACTGCGCGTCTCCTGATTGCCAGATCAATTACGGTCCTGCCTGTGACGGCAATGAGAAGCCCAATGGCCCGGATACCTCAAACTACGCGAGACCAAAGAACGGTGACGTTCCCTATGGTGGCGTTGGCATCTATGCCTGCGTCAACCAGGGTGATGTTGCCATCACGTACGATGACGGTCCTTACATCTACACCGCTGCCATGCTGGATGCCTTCAAGTCTCACGGTGCCGTCGCTACTTGGTTCATTACTGGCAACAACATCGGCAAGGGTATGATCAACGTCAATTACCGCGATGTCATCACAGTAAGCTTTCCGGTCATACACTTTTGAGACTGCCCATTCTGATCTTCCCCAGCGAATGATTGCCGATGGCCACCAGGTTGCCAGCCACACATGGTCACACGAGAACTTGGATCAGATGACGCTCGCCCAGCGCAAGAACCAGATGGTCTATAACGAGATCGCCTTCATGGACATTCTCGGTTTCTTCCCCACCTACATGCGTCCGCCTTACTCCATCTGCGGAGCCGAGTGCCAGGGACAGATGGCCGACCTGGGCTACCACATCACCTACTTCGATCTCGACACCCAGGGCTACCTGCACACCCCCGCCGACCAGATCGGCTTCAGCGTGAACCTCTGGGACCAAGCTATGCTGGCTCGCACCCCTTGCAACGGCAGCTACCTGCACATCGAGCACGACATCCACCAGTACATCGCCACGACCCTGACGAACCACATCCTCGACTCCGTCGTTGCCAACGGCTGGAACGCCGTTACCGTCGGTACCTGCCTCGGCGACCCCCCAGAGAACTGGTACCGCGGCGCCGTCCCGGCCTACAACTTCAAGATCACCCCCGTCAGCTCAAAGGTCTGCTCCAGCACCTCCAGCTCCTCGTCCAGCTCGACAAAGACGTCCTCGTCTACCCGCACCTCGTCCGCGACCTCCACCTCCACCGCCGTCTCCACCAACGGCCAGTGCGGTTCCACCGTCGGCTTCACCTGCCAGGGCTCGTCTTACGGAAACTGCTGCTCCGGCGCCGGATGGTGTGGATCCACCTCCAGCTACTGCGGCACGAGCTGCCAGTCCAAGTACGGCACTTGCGGAAGCTCCTCGTCCAACACTACTTCCAGCAGCAGTGGTAGCAGCAGTGGCACCTCCTCAGGTAGGACCTCTTCCTCCTCTTCGTCCACCCGCAGCGGCACCAGCAGCAGCAGCTCTTCTCGCACCGGCACGTCGAGCTCCAGCTCCCGCACCGGTACCAGTAGCAGCGGCAGCTCAACCCGCTCCGGCACCTCCAGCTCCGGCTCCACAACCCGCACCGGCTCTTCCTCGTCCTCATCGTCTAACACTCGCTCCTCCTCAGGCACCGGCACGGCATCTGCCTCCAGCTCCGCCGCCTCATCCACCTCGACGCTCCCCGTCTCCACAGGCGGTGACTGCGGTGCCTCCAGCGGGAAGCAGTGCTTCGGCTCGACCTTTGGTAATTGCTGCTCCGTCTACAACTACTGCGGCAGCACCGCCGCCCACTGCGGAACAGGCTGCCAGTCCGCCTTCGGCACCTGCAACAGCACGTCGTCCGCCTCCGGCAGCTCCTCCGCAAGTGGAAGCGGCTCATCTTCTTCCGCCTCCGATGCCGCAAGCAGCTCCGGCTCAGCCTCCGCCAGCGGCAGCGCCACGTCCTCCGCCTCCGCCGTCCTCCCCAGCACCTCCCTCATCTCCACCGACGGCTCCTGCGGCGCCGCCGCCGGCAAGTCCTGCACAGGAAGCACTTTCGGCACCTGCTGCTCCGTCTACAACTACTGCGGTACCACCGACGGCCACTGCGGCACAGGCTGCCAACCAGGTTACGGCTCCTGCAACGGCACGACCGTCGCCTCCTCCTCGGGCGCCGCCTCCGCAGGTTCCTCCTCGGCAGCAACCCGCGCCTCCTCCGCCATTGCAAGCGGCAGCACGACCGCCAACGCCGCCGCCGCGACAAACACAAAGATCTCGACAAACGGCGAGTGCGCCGGCACAAACGGCTTCAACTGCCTCGGCTCGACCTTTGGCGACTGCTGCTCCCCCTACAACTACTGCGGCAACACCACCGCCCACTGCGACACGGGCTGCCAGTCCGGCTTCGGCAAGTGTTCCGGTACGGGCGTCAACGTCGCCGTCTCGCTCAACGGGAACTGCGGCTCCACGAATGGCGGGGCGACGTGCACCGGTTCGACGTTTGGAAACTGCTGTTCCGCGTACGGATACTGCGGCAGCACGTCTGCTTTCTGCGGCACGGGCTGCCAGTCCGGCTTCGGTACCTGTGGTGAGTAAATCACATTGAGGTTTTTTCCAGTCATACAACTGGCCTCAGTAATGACTTATATGACCTTGCTAATACGAATTTGTTGGCTAATTAGGTTAATTTACAGATACTTCTTCCGGGTCCGGTACCACTGCCGCATCATCAGCAGCCACGTCAGCCGCGGCATCCACCGTCAAGACGGTCAGCACTATTGGCGCGGCCTGCGGCTCGTCCGCCAACGCGAAGTGCGGCAATGGCTTCTGCTGTACGGCGCTCAACGTCTGCGCCAGCAGTAAGATTCTGCTCGTCAACAACCCGGCTTGTTCTACCTCGTTGGGTTGCCAGACGAGTTGGAGTAGTAGTTGTTCTTAAACGACATTTTGTAAAGCATAATACAATGGGGAGACAGCGGGTTGTTCAAAAGATGGTGGGGGAGATACAAAAGTTGCCATTACTTGTTTTCTTTTGGTTTTTGACTTTTGTCTTTTTTTGAAGCAAAGTCTCTTATTTTATTTTGGATTATATTTTCCATCAAAGCGGCGTTGAGGATTACTGGGGACTTAACTCCATTGATTATTGATAGAGCGATCGATACTACTCACCTTGAGGTACTTACTACCTACCATCACTTATTATAACAATTCTAATAGAATGGCATGTTGACCATCACTTGAGCTTCCGATTACTTTGGTACAAGAAGTTTTTTACTCTTGGTCCTCAAGCCCTTGGTTTAACTTGTTTTGATGTTTGATTCTCTTTGTCTCCGATATTATACTTCACTTTGGGGTTATTCAGGTTTGATTCATGGTTTTTCATTATTCTCAATGCGTATCTTCGTTGCCCTTGTTCTCTTGAGCCCAAACTCAATACTCTCATCTTGAGTCTTGATCCTTGCTCGTTTCCTCCGAGATCCTTGGGCATTTCCTAATGGGTATCTAGGTTACAAACAAGCCAAGGCAAAAGGTGCCAAAGCAAAAAGAAGCCAAAGCATAAGGGGGTATATCGAAGGGTTCCGTAACCCAAAACCTAACTCCTGAAATCAAGCTCTTCCTTCCCCGTATCTCATTATAGTTCCTCGTGGATGCAATTAGTATGAGAAATGCGGTAGGTCAGCAAAGAAGTAGCAACCAACGTCTCGGTTCAAGGGTATAGCAAACCCCTCAACCCGATTCCTCTCTGTAGCTCATGCAGTACCTTTGGAAAGTAGTACGACTACTCCAACTGCCGCATAAACTCCCGATACTCCCGATACTGCTGAAACTCCCCCTTCAGCATCTGCACCTGCTGGACCTGAAAGTCCGCAGCCTGCTGAAGCTGCGCCACTCTGTCCATGACATCTCCAATATCCTTCACCGCACCCGGCATTTCAGGTCCCTGGCCAGGGCGGGCACCAAGCATAACGCCCTGCGCGTCCCTAGCAACCCCGGCAATCTTGGAGACCAGCGCCTGAATACGCTCAACGCGCTTGTTACCAGCATCAACGCACTCGTCGTAGCGCTCCTTCTCGAGAAGGGAAGCCTCGAACATGTCCTGCATCGCCTCGCCGTTATGCCTCTGCGCGCGGGCCTCGTAGTCGTGGGCCTTCATGACGAAGTCGCAAAGAGCGTCGCCGTCGGTGGCGGTGACGTAGGCGCCGCGGGGCCCGTTGGTTATGAGGGGCAAGGGCTTGACCATCGCGGCGTGTTCGCTGCGGAGGGCGTTGGCGCGCTTGATCTTGTCTTTGGCCTCGGTGTGCTTTTGGGCGATGCGGGCGACAAGGCGGGCGATTCTCGTGGCGGAGGCTTGCTCGGCTGCGATCCAGGAGTTAGCGACCTCATTGCTGGGGATGTCAGCGGGAGAGATAGGAGCATCAGCGGAGGCTTGAGCAACAGAGGCTTCAAGAGCAGAGTTCTGAGAAGCGCTCTCATTGACATCGAAGTCGTGGGCGACAACCGGGGGCGCGGGAATGGAGCCGGCAATGGCAGCGGGGGGGATACTGTAGACGGTCATGGGAGCCTCAAGGGCGGCGTCAGACCAGGCGATGGGGTTGTTGTCGTTGTAGGAGGAGTCGCCAGACGGGTCGACAGGCAGGGAGTCCCCCAGACTGTCGGAGAAGCCAGAAGAGCCGCCAGGGTTATAGCCAGCCGAGGCAATGCCATAGTTGTTGCCAAGGCTGTCGTTGCCGTAGTCGTCATTGGCGAGGAAGGTGGATGGCTCGCGAGCAGGGCTGAATGGGTTGTGATAGTCCGCAAGAGGGAATAGGTTATTGGAGAAAGAGCCGTTGCCAAGATGCTCGTCACCCTCTTTCATACCCGCCATGGGCGCCACGGGTCCTCTGGCTGGGTTGTTGAAGAGAGAGCCATTGTCGAGGCGGTGCTCCTCGTCCACTTTCATACCCGGGATGATGTTGGCGAAGATGTCGGGCGAGGATTGGCGTTCGCGAAGAAGGGGAAGGCACAAAGGTCCTTCAATGGACGGGCTTCTAGGGGCTTCAGGCATGAGAGGGATGATGGGGCGCAAGTCCTTGGGGACCTCTTCTGCCTTGGCGAGGAAGTTGAGACGGGGAGTGTCCTTGTTCTCGAAGAAGGGGATCGGCGTGGACGCCTCCTGGGCCAAGTGACCTCTCTTGGACGATGGGCCAGCCTCCATATCCTTAATGGCAGAGGCGGAGCGCTTGTGGTCGGGGTGACTGACAACGATGGCCTCTGGGTTCCAAGGAGTGCCGTCAACGTTGGGGACATAATTGCCAGCGAGGTCTCCCGAGAGGATTTTCTTGTTGTGATGATTGATGAGGCCCTGTATAGTCCAGTCATTCAAGTGGTGAGCCACATCGGCGTTCTTGGCATAGAACTCCTTCTGGAATTCAAGGGCTTGACCCTCAAGGGCGAGCGAATCCGTGGCGAGACAGAGTGCGATGACGAAGTGGGAGGGAGGCTCAACATTGGAGACATATTCGGCGTTGACCTTCCAATAGAGAGTGCAGTTGACAGGGTCGGGCGTGTCAATCAAGAGATTGATTGTCTTGATGAGCGTGGCGCGGTAAGTATCCGAGACGGTCAGTGGGATACGTTTGATCATCTTCCTCTTGAAGGCGACGATGTCGCTGTACTTGTTCTCTTCAGAAAAGCGATTCATTGTGACTGATTTTTCTGCTGCTGGTATTGAACTTGTGAAGAAGCGGGTGAGCCTGCTCTGTTGAAATGAGCAAGGTTGTGAAGGACGACCGCCTGAGCTAGGTGATGCTTTTGTAAGCCTGACGTGAATAAGATGCGCGTCTTCCGAACTTTTTGGGTCATGAGGGAAGACATACCTGAATGAGAAGCCAAGAAGTAAAGCTAGTGGCCTGTTTTGACGATATTGCTAGCTGTGCAATGAGGTGAACGATGGGTGATTGTGAAGAAATGCTCGTCGACCGCTTTGAGAAAATGATGTCGAGGTGAAGAAAGAGGTTGCTTGGGAGACAAAAAGACAATAAGGTGGGTGGGGAGCCGAACCTGCCGTGAATCCGTCAAGCTTTCGAAGGGAAGGGGCGATGAGCAGAGTAGGGCTAATAAACGCGGTGAGAGGTTGGATTTCCAGGAAAGCATTCAACAATGACCGATATCTTCGGGGCGGGGAGTGAAGTCAGAATACACACGAGTAGTGTTGATAGGGGCCCACGTCACGTGCTGGGGTGGGAAGTGAGGTTGTTGATGGATATGAATAGGCAGGCGCGAGATGTGAGGTGAAGTGAGGATGGGGCAAGGTGAAAGGCGGTGGTTCTAGAGACTTTCTTCCACCTCACAAGTTGCTTGAAGAAAAGGCCGACGAATATCTTCCTTCTCCTTCTTTGACCTGTTTTCTGATCTGCCCCTTTTCCCCCCGTGTTTTGTGGTCTTGAAATATTTCTAGATGTATACGGTAGATATTATATGCCTTGAAATGAAGTCTGCTGTTGCTTATGCCTAAGTTTACTGGGTATTACCCCAAAGATGAGAGTTCCCCCCTTTTTATTCTTTCCTGTAGTCATTTCTGGAGCATCGAATGTACTTTCTAAGCAAGATAGTTCATCTCGCCTTTCCTGATCGTTCTCTTGGTCTCCAGATGGTCCGAGGTAATTAGTAAGTGAGACGTGGGTTCTAGATAGACGAGCAGCTCTCCTAGCCGCGCAGAGGCAGTGTGGCTCGCTCAAATAGAGCGATACTTGGTGTCCTACCGAGCGATGATACCACTGTGTCAATGAAGCTGAGGCTTCGGCGAGTTGCAACATCTGATCGGAGGCCGAGCTTACTTTTCATCATTCAGAGTACAGCATTGATGAATTGGATCTCCATATTTGCTACCCGATTCTGATTGCACAGACATGTCATAGTCAAGCCTAATTTAGTCGGCGGGGTTGTAAGGCCCAAACTTGCTTCATCTGCCATCTGCCATACTATGAATCGAATGCTAGAGTGTGTGTCTATGCCGGTGAAGTCTCCCGAGGTATTGCTCCTTTCGTTTCATTCCATAGTATGGTCAGATGGCACATTTTGTAGTTGTGATCACAAGATTACTAAAATCTGAATACCGATATCAAGAGAAAGAGAGGAAAACAGGCAACCGAGCCTTCTACGTAACTTACTTGAGGCATCTTCTTCAATCTGTAACGTATTGTGAAAGGAACATCGCAGTATCCCGTTATTCGGAGGCCGTAAATTCAGCGCCGGATCACCAAAGTTATCCAACTCGCTAGAGATGAGAAGTCACTTGTAAGAAGACACAACGCGGATCTGATGCCGTTTTACCCAGCGGCGTTAGATACGGCATTACGAGAAATGAGTGACCCGTCGAAAAAAGCTCGCTGCTGAACAGATGGACAGAGGAAGAAGTTGTTGAACCAATTCAAAGTCATTAGATTGATAACTTTACAGAGTCGCCTCTAGATACGAATGTGGCTGAAGGTAAGATGGGAAGGACTTACTATAAAATAGAGTAAGATTAGTACTAAGGTAAGGAAGTATGATATGAGAGTGGCTTTAAGGTAAGAAAACTAAAAGAGAAAAAAAAACGGCAAAGAGGACAGTTTCTTCCGGCGAGAGCTACACAACCTATATTGCAAAAGCGACAAAAGCTAAACGGACAGCAGCAACAATGCCAGGAACGTGGGGAAGAATTTCATCCATCTTCCATATAGCCCATCTTATCCAATTCGCATCAAGCTCAACAGTCTTCAAAAGATCTCAATTATAGACCTATGGCCAAATTTCGCTCCAGAGCCATGGACAGTCAGTCGCAATACCTAACGAAGTAAAAGCCTCCATCCGGGAACCCCAAGCCGGGACACCCCGGCCACACGCATTCCAAGGAACGGGGGGTCTCGGTCGGCGGACCAAGCCGGGAAGCAGTGGAGACTTCGGCAGGTACCGTAGAGAAAGTGGAAACCATAGGGGCCATCCTTCCCGAGAACGAGAGGGGGAGAATTGGGAGACGATGGACGGGGGGGTGGGCGGGCTGTTTGGTGGTGAGGGTCATCTAGCCTTCAAGCCTGCGTGCCGGTAATAACAGCGCCGGTTATTGATGTTGGGTGACGTGACACGGGTGCGGTGCGGGGTAAATCGGGCTACCAGGAAGACTCCAGTTCTTGCCCGATCGTACCTGGTTGAAGGGTTCAAGGGTGGGGTTTCTTTCTTTCCCCTTCTCTTCCATACCTGTAGGCTGTCTCGGTTCCCCCGCCGCAGTCCCGGGCCTTGCCGGCATTGGGTCGCCTTGCAGGTCGTCCAGTTGGTGGATCCCGGGTGCCGAGACGCTGCGATTTTCGGAGAAAATGCAGGCGTAAGCTAAGGCAGCCCCGTAGCTTATCGGGGGTTGGAGGAAGAGGGAGAACGAAGCCCGCATGTACACAGTAAGGCAAGGTATTGGTAGTAGGGAGCTTTGGAGGTGCGGGTTGGGTGTCAAAGGTGTGCCCACCTATCATCCTTCTTCCCCCTTCCCTCCCCTTACCTTCACACTCCCCCTCCATTATCCAAAAAAAGCAAAAAAAAAAAAATCATGTACAAAAATTGGCGTAAAGGAACAAGGGACGGGCCAGAACCAGGCAATTTTGAACCAGTACATGGCGAGGGACGTGCCTCAGTCAGGAAGATGTACCTCTACATCGGACCCCTCTAGAGGGAAAAGGAAGAAGCTGGGAGAAAACCAAAAGTCAGTCGACTAAGACGACCGGGTCCGTGGTTCTCGTCCGAGCAAAGGGGGGATTGTGGGAGGAATGGGGGGAAAGAGAGAGAGAAGAAGCAAAAAGAAGACGAGAAATAGCAAGGAAAGCATCAGCGCAAATTCCTCATCACACCCTCCCCTCTCTTCCTTCACTCCCCTCTTGTCTCTGCACCTAAGGTAGCCTTGATAGCTGGCTCGCAACCGTCCCAGGCCTGAGAGGAGATTGCAGAGAGCAACATCATCATGGCTAGGGCAATGGTCTACCGGTGGTCCAACACGGCCCTCCCCACCCAGAGGTAGGCTAAAACTTGACGCAATCACTTTGCGTTGACGGCCCGACGAGGGCTGCAACGTTGAATCCCGCATCGCGCCGGGTCGGTCTATGCAGCTGCGATGTTCTGCCGTTGTACAGGGGGTTATGTTGGACACATCGTGTTCTAGGTCCAACCCGGGTTCAGTCTCGCGTTCATCGCTTTCGTCACTGATTTCTCGCAGGGCCACCTCGGTCTCGCAGATTCCTCACCTTGCCCAGGCGCCATCGTGAACAGCCTCTCCCAATCGCATCTTGCCAGAGCGGCCAGCTGGTTCCTGGATGGGTTAAAGGAGTGAACTGCCGGTTAATGCTATTTCGTCCGTCCGACAACGAAGAGAGAAGGCGACAAGGCCAAGGAAAGCAAATAAAAGCAAATACCCAGGAATAGAAGCGCAGGCAAGCCGCAGGCCGCAGGAGGTAGATACTGAGGTACAAAAAACTCAATTAATTGCAAATCAGTCTTTGAATAGAGTTGTGATGTCGGCGGCTGACGGCGGGCTCAGCTTTCCCTGAAGTCCGTCCGTTCGTCTGGCTTCGAGCTTGCGAGCGCAAGGTACGATACGAACGAGGCGTGTGTGCAGCACGGCACGGTGCAACACTTGGACGAGCCAAGGAAGCAAGTCAGGCCCGCAAAGCTAGGACCGCCTCGATGATGGGCAGAAAAAAGCTTCCAGAACTGCCGTCCAAGTGATGATGGAAGACGGTACCGTGTGGGAGGGAATGGGTAGGGAGGACAGCCACATAAAGTTTGACCTGAGAGAGACAGAGGGACGGAGAGAGGGGGGAAGGGGATCGTGGGCACAAAACAGAGTTGGCAGGAAACGAACACATGCGTGACATGGGAAACATGTTTAAGAAAAAAATAGATGAAAATGTCAACGTCGCCGGGGACGCAAGAAGATGCAGGGGAGATGCTCGGGGGTGTACACCATTGTAAGCCCGTCGTCGGAGAAGATGTCTGCTCGTCTGCTCTATCTTTCTCAGCTCAAGCTGTGATGCCAATTTAGGTTCCATTGTGCGCTCGGAGGAGGGGGGGCCACCAGTACTTTGATGTTTGCCTGTATCCGTACATGGCATTTTTGCCCAGAAAAAGGGAAAGGCACCAAGCTGCAGCTGAGAAGCCCTGAGATATATGGCCTCCCGATTCAGCGAGACACTTGTGCATCGAGGGGGGACTCGATGCGGCAGACCAAACCATCTTGGGAAACCGATGCCGTGGGCTGTGGTTAGCGGGCTGCAAGGTGCAAGAAAACCCGAGAGAAGCATGCATCTCACGCATCAATCATCACCCACATACGCAGCTTCTGCGGCTGGGGAACCGCCCGGTGTAGGTGTTGAGGTGTCGTGATGCCCTATGTGGGTATGTGAAAGATGCAAGTCAGCGTCAGCATCGGCATCAGCAAAACATCAGCATCATCGACACACACACAAAAGTAAGTAAGTACTGCCCGCCTGCATTACCTAAAGTACCGTACGTACATGACGGGGACGCAAGGCAGGTGTCGTTGTCAAACGTGGAAGCCGTGAAGGCCCAAGGACGGAAAGAACGGGGACGTGGGACGTGGGACGTGGGACATGACCCACGGGAAGTGGGGGCCAAAACCCCCAAGCTGGCCAAGCTGGGAAGGAACTTGGGAAAGTGCCAATGGGAAAGTGGAAAGGGGACCCCTAAAGGAGAAGTCGTGCTTGCCTTTTGCTGTGCCGCTGCCCGCGTCCGCGTCCGCCCGCCGTTTCCCCGTAACCCGTAACCCGTTCCCCATTTCCCGTTTCCCGTTTCCCGTCTCCCGTCTTCGCAACCACCTGTTTCCCCCCTCCCTCCCCCTCAGACCCTGAACCGTGTCCGAGCTACTACCAACCACCACCACCGCCGCCAGCCCGAGAGTCGGCTCACCTTGGTTCGGTACGTACCTTGGCCTCGGTGAGCTCATTGCCTGATTGGGCAACAACCTTCTTTACCTTTTGTCTACCCGTCCACCGTCCACGCCGTCTCTTATTTTTTCCTTTTCCTTTCTTCAAGCGCACCAACGAGAAGAACGCAAATGCTTCCATTGATTGCAGAGTTTGTTGCAGTAGCGTCCATTTTTTCAAGTTCACCAAACGGCCCCAGCGTCGATGTTGAAAGCCACAGGTTGCACACATCGTTTGTCTTCCCATTCGAAATCTCTGAAAGGAGGGAAAAAAGTAAGACTAAGAAGGAGGGGGTGGGGGGTGGGGGGTGGTCCCGAGGGAAACTTGAAGTGAGGCGAAAGGGAAAAGGTGCGTGTAGGTTGGTAGCTGGCTAGCTACCAACCAGCACAACCAAGATAGCTTGACCGTCAGGGGAAAGAAGAAAGGATCCCAAGAGTTTACTGGATGATTTGCGAAAAAAAAGCCACAAGACGATCAAGAGGACAGGGGGATGGTTGGCAGCCCCGGGTGCCCGGGCAGAGAAGAAAGTCAGCTTACCTTATGCCAATAATGCGAGTCATCCCAATCCATTTCGTACATGGACTTCTCTGCCACTCTCCTTGCTTATGATCGACCCGGTTTTGGTCAGATCCCATCATCCTTTCATGCTAATCATCCGTCCCACACGAACGGCGCGCGCGATTTTGTTCGTTGGGAGGTGTGGGTAAGGGCGCCGCGCCCATAGCCACGAATCCACGCCATCGGCCGTCGTCGTCACTTTTTCCTATGTGCTAATCGTGTTGACAGGACGAAAAGTGTCTCACGCGCGCACCTTGGTGGATACATGTAGATACCCAAGTAGGGTAGACAGACACGTAGAGGAAGAAACTTGAGAGAGAGCGAGAGCAGAAAGAAGCAAGTTCCGTTGGCAGAGTCGTCTCGCCACGTCACGCAACCCCCTTTTTCCCCCGGAGCAGCAGCGAAAAGAGTGTAGACATTTCTCGGTCCGCGCCAACGCAGAAGCCCCCCCCCCCCCCCCCTCCTTCTCGTGGGATTTATCGCGCTAGCCGACGAGGTTTTCTGGTGATAGGTGTATTTGAGCAGAATATTACAATAGAACAAATGCTTTTTCTTTGGGTCAAAGTCTGGTTCAGTCAAGACCGACTTTGGACTTTTGGGCTGTGTGTTTGTTGAACTTCAACTTCCTCCACCCCCACCCACCCCCCTTCCCTATCCCCCACGCCCGTGACTTTCTTCTCGTCATCAGGTTCTTACTAAAAACCGAATATGTTTATCAGATTCATAGTGGGGGTTGTTTTGAATCTTGCCAAGCAGATGAAACACACGATTCGATCGTCTATTGTTTTGAAAATCTATAGACACCAAAAAAAAGTCCGGCGTAAACAGATCTCATAATCATATACAAGCCCGGGCTCAGACACACGACGCCTATCACCGGGCCCGGCGTCTATGAGTAACACACATGAGCAACAAGGAAAAAAAAAGCAAAACAGAGTCGGCTGCAATAGTGAGTAGCTGGATGCTCTATCAAACACGTCCGCTTTGAAATCATCTTGACAACAAGTCCACAGTCCCAATTCGCCCCCCTTCACACCGTAAAACTTGCCGTAAAACTTGAATGCAAAAAAATAAAAAACCAACAAAGGTGCAAAACACAAAAATCCAACGCTGTGGAAAAGTTGATTTTGGTTGGACCAGACCCTCTCTCGGGAGAGGCAAAGGTGCTTCCTTTCTGTTGTAACGATGACTTGACTCTTCTTGACACAACCACTTCTCTCTCTCCCCCTTCCTTCTTTCTCTTATTCCATGCAGCCAACTCCCATGTTACAGCCCATAAGAAATGTCTGCGTCGGTCGCCCAACTATGCGATTCTCTGAGAATAACCAAAACTAAGCCCAAATCAAATAGTCCCTTTTGAAACCACCATCTCCCTCCTATTATAATCTGTATCCGTATAGAGCGAACGAGTTCGAACAGTTGAAACGAAGTGGGTATAAACTAGGTAGCGAGTGTCGATGTAGAGAAATGCGTCGGTCGGAATTCCAAAGGCCTAAAGAGATAAACACTTTTCTGTCGTACGTTGTTATAATTCTGTTGTTCTACCGCGGGCCACCTTCATGGGCATGATGCCCGTGGTGACCGGGCGGTGGCGGACCAGCTGATCTGCTCGCAAATCCTGTCTCGTGAGGAACACGCGTGTAGCTGGGATACAAGGGACCACCGGCAGACACCCCTGGCCCCGGTTCCTGGCCAAGATAAGGACCTTCCATGCCCCGAAGAGGCGGTAGTCGCTCACCACCCGGCGCCGTAGACGGGGGTCTCTGAGGCACCATGCCATACGCTGGAGCCTGCATGGGCGGCAGATTTCCAGCTTGAGGGATCGGAGCGCCATACGAAGGCATCGAGAACTCTGGAGGCGGGGCCGAATCGGTCCTACGCCTTCGCGTTGGTCGTTCCACCGAAGATGCCTCACTCGATGCGTAGCCCTGAGACTGATGGGGAAGCATCGGAGCTTGCGCCATGGGGCTGGTCTCCGCCATAGATCCACCGCTTCTCGACGACGTTGGGCTCGGAGGTCCGTTCGCCATGTCGCTGAGAGGCGTTCGTAGGACCACATCGCGAAGACGGTTTCGTTCGTCCCGGTAAAAGTCCCTCTCCCGAGTCAGCTCCCGTACTCTCGTCTCCAGGTCCCGTCCCCGCTGCTCCAACTTTTGCAGGCTGGCCGTCTGTTCCTGGTCTCTCTCTTTCTTCCTTTGTCTGAAGCGTGCCGAAGCCCCGGCATTTCGTTGGCGTTTCTCGTCTGCCTGTTTCGACGCCTGATGTACGTCCACAGGTATGAGAATGCCTCCTTCATCTCCTGGTAGCCTGACCACCATTCCGCCCTCCGCCTTTGTCACATCTGATCGCAAACTTTGATATAGAGAAGTTCCGGCACCAGGTGTGGACCAAACAGGCACTCCTGGAGACTGTGGCGGAACATAGTTCTGGCCAGGAGGTAGCATTGGTTGACCATGATATTCTGTTGGTCTACCATGAGGATCTCGTGCCATGGGAGGCAGTTGGGGCCGGTCAGAGTTGCCAGGCTGCATGTGCCCAACCATGGGTTGGGACATGGATCGCGGCGGCGTTGTGAGCGGCCCCATTCCTGCTGAAGGAGGGCCCAGGGAAGGTGGTCCAGAAAAGGGCAGACCGGATGCTGAACGAAGGGGTTCCTGGGGACCCTCCTCGCCAGGATAAGGACGCTTCATTCGCGGAGCGTTGGGCGGTAAGAAGGGAGTTTGTTGTGGCTCGGGGCCTCGCATGCTCGTCTGGCTCACACTGGCTGCGCGTACCTCTCGAGGACTGAGAATTTGTCTCGGAGCACCCATGGGAGGGAAGGGAAACCCGCTTTTGGGCGAGTGTTCTGATGGTGTATGGCCCAATGGCGTTGTCGTCGGGTGCCCAGCTGGCGTAGCGGGCTGAGAACTGGGATATCCCCGACCTTGGAATGCAAACTGACGATCACTGGATGTGGTGTATTGCCTCGAAGGCATGCCATATGGCGAGGTTTGACTGTCAGTTGGCCGGGGCTGTGATGACTCGCCAGTGGAGCTTTCCTGTTGCGCTTCAGATGGGTTGATCAACCCTCTGATACCCAGGGACCGTGGAGCATGGGAGTGTCTCTCGCCGGCAGCTGATGGGGCTGTGACAACATCTTGGAACGCTTGACTATCTCGAGGGAGTGGACTCTGCTGGGAAGTAAAGGGAGCTCGAGGTGGTGATTGCGTCGATGCCTGCGTCGTAGAGTGAGGTGCAGGTCCCCTCTGTGACATCGAGACCTGTTCCCCTACACTCTCCCGGCCGTTATGGCCCGAACATTGACCGTTCTGGCCAGTACTCGAAGCCGAGGAGTAATCTGAATCCGGTCCAGGAGAAGGTTGTTTGGGAGTGTGTGTGTTTTCGTGTCCAAGGTACCGAGCAGTTGTGTTCAAGCAACTTGTCCGTGCGTTTTCGCCCTCCTTAGCCTCGCGGCTACGTTGGGGTTGGTGATGTCCAGAGAATCGGACAACCGCTGAGATCGCCAGGTTGTCGGCTTTGGGTGGGACTAACTGGGTCGAAGCCAACAGTCCCAAGGTCTAAATATCACGAATGGGTCAGGAGGTAAGGATGACTTGTTCAACGGCCACAGTGGAAGCCGCTCAGTCAAGTCAATCTTCAGATTGGAGAGCTGGCTAAAGCCCAATAGGGTAGATGGAGGCCTGTCGAAATTGGCGTCGGTGGTCGTTTCAACGCCTTCTCTATGTAATGGTAGGCTGCTTTGCTTTTATGGACTGAGAGAAAAAGCTTTTCAGGTGAGATGCAAGTTTCCGTAGGTGAAGTACTTGGGTGACCACAAAAGGCCGTGGAGGAGGTTGGAAAGCTGGCTGAGGGCTGGCAGTGCCGATGGTCAGATTAAATGTGTTGATGGCGTGGGATGAGTGCAGGCCGAACGGGCCACTCATGACTCTGGATTCAATCCCAGGCAATGAGTGGCCGAGAAGAACCTCAGGCACTAGGTGATGGTTGGATCGACTCACTGTAAGTAGCCAACGCGTCCTTCTTCCTTGCTTAGAGCTAGTGCTCTTTCTTGCTGGTCTTCTTCAGGAACCCGGGAATGATCCAACAGTTTGACAGGTTGTAAGTCTGTCTGCTTTAGAGAATCGTTGTAGAATGTGAGCCGAATGGTAGTTGTTGTTATTCGAAGTAGCGTTGTTCAGTCAGTCGTGGTCCTCAGAACTGAGTATTATTTCGATAACCGGGCAGGGTGGGTTCGTGACCAAGGTCGTAATCGATTTAGATGAGCAAGTATGATCGAAAGGAGTGGTTAGGATTCTCTTGCAAAGCTGCTATGATTCCAATGTAACCGCTGGGTCATTACACGACAGAGACTATTAGGCAAGGTCGGGAGGAGCCAGGTCTATTTGATTTTTTTCTGAATTGCCCTAGCGTAGTTCTCTTATGGCGGCATAGCCTTCTTATCGACCGAGCCCTGGCAACTTGCCGGGGAACCAACGAGCTTAAGGTGCATGGGGGTGTGGTGCTGGAGGAGAAGGAGGAGAAGAGGAGGATGAACGGCGACATGGATTCGGATACAAGTTGAAGCTGTTGGGTTGTGGACAGCAAATGTGCTGGCCGGGGTACATGGGATCAAGGGAAACACCAGGGGGGTAGACCCATTCTCGGCGCCAGAGGGTGCTCAGACATTGACAGGGCTTAGTCGACTGGTTGCTGCTTGGGTCGAGAGGTAAGTAACGGTACAAGTCCCCTGCTGACATGACGGTACCGACTCTTTCGCTCTCTCTCTCTCTCTGTCTTGCTTGCATGCCTTGGCTTTGGTTGGGACCTTGACCTAGGGAAGTTTGCCTCTTGTTTTTGCTTCTTGTGACATGCCATGCAGAAATACTTTTTTCCAGGAGGGTTAGCCATGCTCGACGCACGGAGCCAAATGTTCTCGACTGAAGAGGCATTCCGGAACGGCAGCGAGAAACTGGGATGGGGCTTGCTTGTGCTGCCTCGGTCTTCCTAGCAATGACGGGCAGCAGTCAGTGATGCTTCGCAGCTAGCTAGCTTGAGCTAGCTGGCCGTACAAAACCACAATGCTCAGGCGGCGTCAAGCACAAGAAGAATGGCTGCTCGGCCGAGACGTAGCGGGCATCTTTTCATGAACCCAAGGTGCCGCGAGATTACGATGCGCTGCGCAACCGTTATTGAGTCGAGAAGGATGGTGGCATATATGGTACTCCACGATGCTCATTGCGTATCTTGCTGTCCCTCTCGCACAGATGTGTTCGCATCCGAGGTGTGTGCAGGTAAGGCACTGGGGTCGGTTGTCAGCAGCAGTCAGATATGTCTGAAAGCAGACGAGGGATTGCTCTTACACCCCAGGAACGTCTTCCGCTGTATGATGCAAGAATCGGGGAGCTTCCCCTCTCATCACCGCCCTTCTGACCGACTTTGGCAGGCCGAGGGAGGAACGCGGGATATTGGGCCTTTCCCTCATCTCTGCCAGTGGAGCGTGGGAGGGAGAAAAATGCAAATCGGCCGGGATTTCGGGGGTCCCTGCGCGGGTCTCCGGGGGGAGGGGAAGAGTAGCGAGAGAAGTCGAATAGAGGAGTGAAGACGACGTCCTTGGACCAGGCTCATGGAAGCTACTTCGACGCTAGGTAACTAGCCGGCTAGCGTGGTTCGTCGAGCAAGGTGAGGTGGGCAACATGGCAAGGCACAGAGGAGAATGTGGACGGTAGCGTGCGGTGTCCCGTATCTGTTCAGAGAATAGTGTGGTGGTAGTGTCCAACGTCCAAGTCCATAGATCCCCGTCGAAGACTTTTCGTCCCAAAGTGCCCGCCTGCCCGGTGCGGGTAGGATCCAGCGCGGTGTGGTCGACGCTGAGCAGATCGCCATTGTTGCTGCACATCCATTCGGCTCGGCGTCAGTCTCTTGGGCAATACTCTGTATCTGTGAATGGAGCGGAGTACAGAGCATCAAGGTGATGTAAAGTACCCGTAGGCAATGAAGCACCTGGTCGCAAATCATATCTTGTAACGTCCCGGACGGTCCGTCGGTTCTGGTTCGCTTCAGTGCCTACACTCCATGCGCAGCCTACAGCCCGCCGGGATCCAGGTCGTCAGCAATACTGCGTATCCGCACTCCGTGTGGCGGTTTAGCCTTTGGGAAAATCGATTTGCAAGCCTTTGGGCTAATATCGAATCGGCAAGCCGGAGAGTGAAGAATGGGGGCCAGTTGGCTTAGCGCAACGGCGGGCCATATGTATGTCTATGATTGGAATCCATCCATCTGATCAACGGTGACGTTTGGAATGCCCGTCTGGGGCGGGAATAAAGCTGCACTGATTCGCATGAGTGGCCAAGAAAGGAAGACACGGAAACTTTGAGCCACAACTCTGCGCCGTTATCTCGTGCAGCAGCGTTTCTGTACTCTGTACACCTGACGAGAGGGAGAGCGAGCACGTGATTGCAGTGCAGGTGGCTAGGCTTGGGGTTCGAGATGAGATACCCAACCCAACAATGTTTGTCTTGTGTGTGCATTCGAGGTTCAGTACGGAGTGCCGGTAGAAGCTGGTCGTTCGATGACTCGTTGTGTAGGCTCTCCCACCGGCAGCATCCGATGGAACGCCTGTCCAGTGTCGGGGACGGGTAGACGATACTCTAATGTTTCGTTGCTTCGAGGCACGCGCCGAGGCTTGATGGACGTTGAGTTGGAAGAGATAGAAACGCGGTACATCGTACGGACTACGGAAACCCACGACGACGACGATGTTGAGTGGACTACCTTGGATCTTGAAGTCTCCAAGGAGGGATCCTGAGGTATCCTATCTGAACGTGACTAAGGTACATACGAACTCAGTACGTACTGCGTTTAACAGGTACTGAGTAATTACTGCCGCGACTTGGTTGGATGACATTAAACCGCAAGGGGAAAGGACGACGAAACCAGAGCTAGACAAGATTCAAGAAGAAACAATAGCGGAGCTGGACCAGAAGATGGGTAGCAGCCGGTACGGCAGATGCGGAATGATGTAAGTCGCGGTCCTCTTCTTCTGGGTGTACTGGTACATGGAACGTGGTTCCTGACCAAGTTCCTTCGCCTAGCGCACCCTGAGGCTTGCGCACCCATCGGCATGTTTCTGCGAGTTGCAGGGGAGACACGAACGGTGCCAGGCACTTGGAGTGCATTCCATGGGGATGGGCTGCCGCTGCTGTTGCTCAATTTACTCTAGTAATCTAGGTAGTCATGGTAGTGTGCCTAGAGCTACTCTCAAGTCTAGACGGATACGGTTCATCGTGACCCAACTCACCTGAACGTCCTGAACAGAGTGGGCTGCTTTAGACCTCGTCGTCGAGACATGTTTCCCTCCCTCCCTCTCCCGGAGACCGGACATGTCTCTACCTTATCCGTACAGATACTTCAAAGTATAGTAGTGTAAGTGTAGTGCCCACCGGCAGCACGATGCTACTTCCGAGGCGAGATCCGGCTTGCTGCCGATGGCGACAGCCCTCCGGCGCTTTAGAGTTCGGTAGGCAGCGTATCGTTCGGAATCTGGGGCAAGCCGCAACGCGGGAAAGGGGAGGCTGGAGCTATGAAGAGAAGGGGGCGGAAAATGAATGCCTCCAACGGTGTGTATCTTGTATGTGGAACTTGGAACTTGTACCAGACTCTCAGCAGAGTCTAATTGCAAGGAGCTCAGCTGAGTGTCGTACACTACTTGCCTAGGCTCTCCGCAAACCTCCTGTTCCACCCCTCTAAGCAAGAAAAGAAGACTTGACTGACCTCGCTCTCGATTGGATGTCATGCGTTCTTGGACCCTGACCTTCCGACGGCTTGGGCAGACAGGCGACATACTCCGCCCCTGGGCCGAGCTTTCGGAGGGGAGGGGACGACTCAGGTGTCGACGTGTGTTTGTGTCTTTTTATTTTTTTTATTTTTGCGCAAAATGGATATGAGCAGCTGCTAGCCGTGGGTTAGGAAGTCTATTTGATGACGGAATTTCCTTGCGAGGGACCACCAGGCAAACATGCAAGCATCACGGCGTAGGGCAAGCTGGGATGAAGGTGGTAATTGGAAATTGGGGGCGGAAGGTAAGGGAACAGACGACATTCATCGCTTCATTGTACCAAGCACAAATCGAATCGAATCAGCCTGGGTGATGATGAGATAGTCGAGACTCAAGATTGAGCCGGAGCCTGAGCCTGAACCTGGCTATGTTGAGTGTTGACAGTCAGTCGAAGTGCCGCGCCGTTCCTTCACCGTCGACGCCAAAACTGGCTTTCCATCTTTTCATTTTGTTTTTTTCCTCCTCCTGGTTCACTCCCTATCGTTCTCTGTCTGGTCCCCCTCTCCCCCGCTCATCACATCACTCTCATCTCTTTTCCCCCCGCCCGCGTGTGTTGCAACTTGCTTCCAGGTCTCGACTCCTCTCATGTCTCCTCAAAAGGTATTCGCACCCACTCTGAGTTTCTCCGAGTATCTGAGCCCTAGACAAAGAAGCTGCGAGTCTATCGTTTAATGTCTCAAGCGTCACTCATATTGTCTCGAAGCGGCATCCCATGCTCACTCAACTGGCTGCTAGACCGCTACCCTACGGATGCTATGAGTCTATGAGTGAGTCTGATTATCTGAGACGATTCTGAGTTGTCCAACATCACGTTTGGTAACCGTCCGTTGCACGACGGCCCAAGCCAGCCCAGTCATGCACTGCGTGATGTGACGCGATGCACAGCACAGCACAACAAAGCAAGCAAGCAAACCACATCGCACTTGCACTTGAACCATTTGGATATTGGGCACCCATGGCGCATCCACATTCCTCCTTCTCCCCTGTTCCCTGACACATCACGCCTGCACAACCACAACCATCCTCATCCTGGGGCTTTCCTGGTCCGCGCTTGCTAAAGGTATCCTCAACGGAACCACTTCCTCTCCGTCGTCTTTGTCTGCCTTCCCTCTCCACCGCTGGAGTAGCTTTTCCTGGGCCCTGGGCAGCTGGGCTGGCATGCCTACCGCTTATCCCTGCCCTCACAGCCCATGCCATCCCAGCTGCACCTTGGACACGTTTTGGCTCCTCATTTTCTCTCGCGGAAGACGGAATCTAGCCCTGGCTTGCTCTAACGTCACCGTCACCGTCTTTTCGAGAAGACGACAAGGACTCGTCAAAGTCGATCTCGTCTCATCCATTCCTCCCGCAGCCAGCGGACGGACACAATTCCTAGACGCCATGGATATTTCTTCTCTCCGGTCCACTGCGGCGATCTTGATCCGGAAGGCCACTCTGGCTCACGCTCATCGAATTCCGACCTGTCATATTCACACTCTAGGCCGGCTCACGATTCGAGCACCATGGTAACATACGTGTACTCTGTACGGTGTATGTCTGTCTATGCAATACACAATCTGTCAAGGAGACCATGACCGCTCTGTTTCTCATGCACCGACAACTCCTCCATGACAGCACAGCAGTGCAGTTGGCGCTTGAACGGGTACAAGCACACTCCTGCCTCTGCTTCGCTCTCACTAATCATTCAACTTGTCGTCCTCTGCTGCCCGACATACCCACAACGTCTCATCCCCGCCATGTCTCATTGAAACATTGTGCGCAGACTGCAAGAAGGTGATCGATGTTCCGGCCCCAAGGTTAGTATGGATATAGAGTTCCACGGTCATTGGACTTTTGTCTGGACTCTGGACCTTCTCAAAACAGGGACCTGAGTCGCACATCTCGTGTATCTGCCCCTCTGAGGTGAATCCCGCAAGCTCAAAAGACCTCCCCAACTGACGACTGTGTGCTAGCCCTACAGATACAGGCAAATCCATTCCACGGTCGTCCAAGGCGGTCAGTTGACGTGCAAAGTTTAACCCCCATATCATGCAAGCTAGCAGACCGATGGTCTGTTTAGATCCACACTAGAACGCATGCTGCATCCGCTTCGTGGAAACATATTGCGCGCATCACATCGAGAGTCGGGGTGGGTTGGACGGATGGACTTCCTGGGCTTCCTGGCAGGTTGACCGTGGCCATGGATGCGATGCTCACCACCATCTTCTGATCCCGCCCGCTGCATCTCAGGATCCTCGTCCAGGCCATGCCGTGCCATGCCATGCAAGCCCTGCCTCCCGGCCTCCTGGAACACCATTCACGCGCGGCCACGGTCGCTGCTTCTGGACCGATGCCGGACAAAGAGCCTCGTTGGGACATGGCAGCGAACACACGCCGCAGGAGCGGGTCACCAGTAGAGATGGCCACATCTTGCGTGCATCTCAGCCCACCATGGACGGGATGCTTCCATTGGTAACGTATCACCGACGACCTCGCCATGGCCAAACAAATCTACAACAAGCCCGAAGGGGGGTGGCCGCCCTGGATCCAACCTCAACCAGCTGGCTTGTTCAGTTGTTCAATGTTGGAGAATGGACGAGACATGCCTAGTTCCAAATAGGCCACAATCATCGCTTCAGAGTCTGGTCTTGTCTCTCTTTCTCAGCATTCCATTGTGCATTCATTGTCAAACCTGCCTCCATTGTTTCGTTTGCTTCTTCGCTGCAAAAAGTTTCCCCACACCACTATCGATTTCGATGTAATATTCCCTGCAAGCAACCCTACGAACTGAAATACCTAACCAACCATCCTGGACGGCAAGGCTCCCCCCTCGCATGCTCCTAAGATGACCCCAGTGAGCCGACACCGACTATGACCGACGACCGGGCACAGGCTTCTGCTCCTGCTCCAGCTGCCCGTCACACGGTCACTTGCGGCGGCATGGGGAATGAAGGGACTAGGTAAGAAGATCCTGGATGGGGAATTGAGATTCTCTGGGACGACCCTCCATCTCACCCTCCATTTGTTCTCTCTCCACACTCAATGGTCTCCCACCCACGCCTTTTCACGGTGTCTCATTTCTTCTTCGTATTATCGTTTAATTCTCTGTCTGGGGGGGGGGGGGGGGGGGGGGGGGCTACAAGTACATTCTTCACATCGGCTTTTCTTCTTTGGTTTCTTTGGTGCGGCCCACTGCCAGGCCATCTCTTGGGACAGCCAGGCCAACCATGCCTCCAATGTTGAGTTCATAGATGGTTAGATGGCATCGAGAAGCTCCAACAGGTTCCGCAGCTGGACGGTGACTGTTATTGGTTGTCGTCCAGCGTTGGTAGGCGCAACTTCGCAAGTCATGATATCACACCGGCGGCTGCCAACCCTACCAACGCGACAGATGATATCAGATCCTTGGCCCCTAGCGACGCACAGCACCACCCGCGGGACGTGTCGTTGTACGTACATGCACCATGGCCACCTGCATGAGCTGTACGGAGTATGCAAGGCCCCAGAAGGAACGAAGTGCCATCTGCGGCCCAATATGCAGCCCCTGACACCTCTGTCTACCGCCTACGGTAAGGTGTTCAGGGACAGGCCGAGTACAGAGGTACTTTGGCCTCGTTTCAGACGAGACGAGACGACACTCGCACTACGCTACGAATACCTGACCTACGAATACCTCACAGGCTTACGGAGTAGACACCAAGATAGACCAGCAGACCAACGTAGCTGACGAGCAAGAGTCCCGCCAGCCCGCGAGAATAGTGCCATGTTGCTTGGTACGAATCATCGCGACCCGGTTGCCTCCCGCCGCCAGTAAACTCACTAACCCGCCTCACCAAATGAGTCGTTCCAAACGAGTGGATAGCCGCAATTATACCACTGACTTAGCCTTTCCGGGATATTTCGCGCTTCCGCGAAAGAGAATGAAGCTCTACGTATGATGTACCAGTACGCAATCCGGCATGTTCGTTCGGCTCTGCCCTGTCTAATCCTAGCTTCTAGAATCTGGCACGCGATGCACCCCTACCAGTCTACCAGTGCCTAGTCGTGGAACACGGGTGTGTGTGCGCGCGCGCAAAATCACCTCGTCAGACAAAACCACGTTCGCGAGGGACCTGACCCTGGGCTTATGCAGACTGAGTGTACGGAGTACAGATACTTGGTTCGAGTTACAGAAGTTGCAGAACGCGTCCGATGAACGGGGGTTATTGCGACAACGAGACCAGCGCAAGCCTGTTTCCGGTCTTACCGCGAGCTACGCGCGCGTATCTTACCGCGTAGCTCCCCGAGCTTTCCGTGATGAGAGTGATGACACCGCATCTCAAGAGTCACCCATGAGATGCGTAATGCGTCACACCAAACATACGTCGGTGATTTGGTGACAGCGGCTTTTGTGACCGCAGTGGAATCATGTATGAGAGGCAGCGCAGGACGGATACAGCGCAAGCACACATCAAGGCTAAAGAGAAACCCTGCCCCGTCTCGCCGCAAGATTGGCTTCACACACCGTTGCGAGGCTCAAATTTGATCAACTTCCGAAATGTCACGTCTCGAGACTGCGGGCAAGGATATCCCTTCAAAGAGCTTTCAGCCCGCAGAGTGCCAAAGCCAAGGGAGGCAACGTCGGGACTGGAATAGCGTGCCTCCTTGATTCGAGACGAACGGGCAACGCTCATCTCATCGGACCTTGTTCGCGACATTCACAGGGAGTATGGACTCGAGCGGATGTAACGTCGGACTGGGAACAAGGCCATGCTATTTGGAGGCATTCCCCTGGTTTTCAAGCTTTCATTTACACTCGTCGCTTCCGAAGCCGACGCGAAACAAGCACCGTACTGGGTAGGTTGCGGCATAATTGTAGACTCTGGGCGAAAAAGAGGGGACAGAGTCTATTGTTATGCCCTTGATATGATGGCATCCCGCAGCACGCCTTTACGGATACTACTAATGTACATCACCGATCAAAAGCTCCGTTATTCGGAGTGGAGGGGCGGATGGCGATGTGCTCGACGGTAATAAGTAAGTCGATTCAATTGGTACCAACACAGCTGGCCCCCAGTAAACCTCAAACTTTATCAGGACCCGTCTCTGCCAACCAACCCCTTTGGAGTAGCTACGACAGAAAAGTTTGGCGGTCTTTGACGGCGCTACGTTTCGTTCCGTGTTAGTCGCCACAAAGTTTCAACCATTTCGGGGTCCTGGGCTAAAAGAGACCAAAAGAGAGAGGGGGGGGCCCGGCGGATGTGGGAGACGCAATAATATCCGTCACGCGCCCAAATTTAACATTGCGTCGTGGGAAGTTGCGAGATGAACCCCCACCGAAGGGCCGAAGTTCACGGTTGGTAGTGATGAGACAAGTGAGACATCTGCAACGACGACGGGAATGGGAGCTTCCTTAATTGCGATGATCAACTGTCGTCAACGCCTGAACCCAGGCCAGAGCGCATGTGAGGTGGTTGATTGCTCTGGTTGCTGGGCAGATATTACATTGGCATGCTGTTGGTAGCCGAAAGCTGCATTCCGCCACCTTTCAGAGTTTCCAAGCGGCATGCAAGTGGGTTTTGCTGGATGCTTCAGAACACGAACAAGTTTAGGTGCCCTACAAGACTGAATTTCGCAGCCGCCATGATGGACCGAGGACAGAAAAGGCCACTCTAGAGCTTGGCAGTCCCGTCGCTCTGCCAGGTTAACGCCTTTGTCCAAGCCACCAGAAGCATATACGACGACGGTAAGATTTCGTTCGACATCGACAGGTCACATCTAATAGCACGCAGCGCGCGCTCGAAAGAGGATTGAAGGCCTGTTCCCTGCCCGTCTTCACTGTCCGGCCCGTCCCTAGCAATTTGGTTTTCCCAACTAGTCAGCAACATCGCACATCCAATAAAGCCCGAACCGTCCACTCGCGCGAATTGGCGCGGTATCGTTAGTGCTGTGACGACTACTCCTTTTTTTTCCCCCTTGAATCCTGGCAGACGCACGATGAAAGAAGGAAGAAGAAGAAATTTGAAAGGTGATACTTTTCTTGGGGTGCGCTGACGATCGCTGCTGCCATCGTGTGGATGTGTTGAACCCGGCGGCCCAGAGGCGATCGATGCCGTCTCAAATCTCGCCAACTGGCAAACGAGTTGAGGGGACACTGACACACATCCAATCCTCTTTCTCTTCAGTCATTATTTCACCCACCCCCTTCCAAACAAGGGTGCCAAAAAAGAGAGAATGCTACCCTGACGAAGAAAGTTAGGTATGTGATGGGAAGAAGGACGGGCCACACTAGGCAGGGCGGGTAGGCACGGCGAAGTAAGGTAAGGTAGGGGAGGGAGGGGAAAGCGGAAGCGGAAAGCGGATAATACGTGATGTGAGAATGGCATGCGTCTTGCAGCTGCAACTAATAAACGGTTGCTTCACACGGGCCGCGGTTCATGCGCCCAGCCTCTCTCTCTCTCAGTTTCGACGACTTCCATTACTCCTCCGTACTCGGTAACCCCCCTGTCCGGCTGGCTGGCTTTGCTGGACTGACCAGCCTCGGAAACGGGAAGTCGTCGATAGGTATGTGCAGACGCGCGTGATGATCAACGAACGGCCTTTTTGGGCCAGCGGGTGACCCGTGTGCCTCTCGTGCAGCTGCTGCTCGTTATGCAGCAAGCCGTTTGGGGTGAGAAAAGAGGCAAAGGTGCTTGGGGTGGTGAAAGCCCTGTTGGGGTCACTGAGTGATTCCTGAGGCTGGCTGGGATGGAGTGATACGCGCCTAATAAGAGCTTCACCATTTCATTAACATTGGCAAACTCCAACGCCAACGTCACTGTCACTGGAAGCTTGCGACAGGGCGACGGAGCTACTAAGCGATACGACTCTTGAGGTATCCGTGACGAGGGGTACCCCTTCCCGCACGCCGTTCATCACTCCCGTCCTCGTACATTAAATCAGGGCGCCATTCACTCCCAGTCTCCGACCCCAAGGTCAGGCGATTGTATGGCTATCTAGGTAAGTAGGTATCCTGAGAACAAGACGCGCAGTTGTTGGATACAGATACATGGCATCGACGTTTTTTTTTTTTTTTTTTTTTTTTTTTTTTTCGTTGCTCCCGCCTGGCCCGCATCGGCACCCGAACGAACAGCTGCATGATTCATGGGAGCGCGAAAATCCCAAGAACCGCGAACGAGCCTCGTTGTAACCCCCCCTCGTTCGGGAAATTTGCAAAAAGAGAGACGCTGCTAACTCCCCGGGTTGTGGGCGATCATTGATGTCTGATCACCCCCCTAAAGGCCCCTTGATGATGGAACATTTCGATCGGGGGACCGCACTGCATAGCATACTTACATGTACGGATACCCGTAGCCCATGGATGATGGAAAATAGCTGGCTGGACTGGCCCATGAACTCTGCTCACTCACCTCAAGGCACAAGTTCCCTCGTCGGCTCTGCCCTCATGGGTGCGGTACCACAATACCTGAAGAATATCCATACATTCCCCTCACAGTCTTCGTATTCAAATACTTCTGGAGCGGGCGGCCCATCTTTTTTTCTCTCTCGCGTTGGTAATCTTCCATTTGTTCCTTCAATCTTCGATGAGCGAGCGCGTTCACTTGACAGATCCAAGCTTGCATTGACCCCCTCTGGGGAGGATTCGCAACGGAGCCGAGGTGAGGTTAGAGGCTCGAAGCCAAGCCAAGCCCGAGGAGGGTTAAAAAGAAGAAGGAGGAACATTACGCGCAGGTCGGTTTCGGCACGTGAAATGAACAGCTTGTTTGCAAAATATGTTAGGACCAATGTTCGGATGGAAGGAAAAAAAAGGCGAGAGACAATTGACGAAACAACGTGGGGAAATGGCCAGACAGGCGGCCCTCGGCTCACTTATTCACTCACTCACTCACTCACTCAACTCTCGGCCGCAGCGGGCCACCAGGGCCACGGGCGCGCGGACGATCTGGCACATCTCACTCACCACAAGTTTGTTTCCGCGGCACCGCCGTCCCGGAACATGCATCCAATGCTTCCCCGGGCCCCCGGAACTGGGTGTCGGGGGGCTTGTTAAGCAAACATTTGTTTAATCAACAGCAATCCTTAGCCTTGCCAATCCAAACCGGCCACAACTCTGTTGGTGCAGGGGGGTTTCTTTTTGGCTAATGAATTCCTGACATGCAGCCATGGCGACTGTTGGTTTATCATGAACTACAGATGTGCGAAGTCACGAAGTCACAAAGACATGGTGCAGAGTTTCAACCAACAAGACGGCAACGATCATCCACCCGGACGCGAACAAACTACTTCGTACGGATAACGGGGTTGACAAGCGTCGCTCCTTGGCTTTGTGTTTGTTTTCTGCCCACTTTGCCATGATGAGTTGCATCAGGAGATTTTCTGCTGAGATCTGCCGGTCAAATTTTCTTTGGAGTTTTATTGAAACATTTCTTAACCCTTGTCGTTCTTGCGTCTTATTTCTTTTGGCTTCTTTTCTCTTTTTCGGCAAATTTCCTGAGCTCGGCTTCCATTTGCTTCAACGCGGGAGATTTCGTCTCCATTATCAGTTGCTGGTTTTGGAGGCCTCGCTTTGGGGGAAACTTGTCGACCTGTGTGATTTTCCTTTCCTTAACTCAGTAATGTGTATGCGTGTGTTACATGCGTGTAACCTGTTCAATCTTGTGTTCGGTCTACAAGACACAAAGTTGCGGGATTGAGGCTAAGCGGCCCGTCTCCCGCGTATTTACTCGACTATTCGGGAAATACGAACGCGGTGGCTCCGTGGTTCTTCTCGGGGCGAACAAGATGCTTCATCCTGGGGGGATAAGGCCAGATAACAGATTCTAAGCGAAATGTCGGGATATCATGAGCAAGTTGCCATGATAAGAAAGCTGGCTCTTGCAGAGTCGGTAACGAACGACTCCGCTGACGCTACCGTGACGTCTGCATCTCTTACCTCTCAAAAGACGTTTTCTTCTCATCCGGGCGGAGCGTCTGCGGAGTGACGAACCGAACCGAGAAAAAGACGTGGTGCTGTCGGGTTTCCTTCGGGTAATTGCTGAGCGAAACGACTCATTTTCGCAGACAGCATTCCCGGGTTTACTGTCTGTACAAGGATATAGCTAAAAACCTCCTCATCGCGAAACCCCTCACTCTTGAGTCTCCAGTACTATCAAATATAGGACAGGGTGACAATCCGAACCAAAACCAAGTTTCTCTCTGAATCGAGCTTTCCAGGCGATAGTATACTTACGTTCACTCTGTACGCCTCTGTACAACCAAACAAAAAATGGCGTCTCTTCAGACTTGGACGGTCGACAAGCCGTACCTCAACATCCACTGCGGCCTGGGCGAGGGACCATACTACGAAAAGGCGACAAACCTACTGCGCTTCGTCGACATCAAGAAGAAGAGGGTCCACTTTGTCAACCTCGGGCAAGGGCCCGAGTCCCTGCGGACGGTGCAACTCGACGTGCCCGTCGGCGTGACGGCCGACATCGAAGGGGTCGACCCGGCCGACAAGATCCTGGTCGGCCTCAAGTACGGCATCGCCGTGCTCGACGTCCGCTCGGGCATGTACGAGTACGTTGCCAAGCTGCACGACCCGGACAATGAGAGGCTGCGATCCAACGACGGCGCCGTCGACCCGAATGGTCGGTTTTGGCTTGGTACCATGACGGATTTCGGACTGGGTGACTTCAAGGTTGAAGGTATGTGCCAATCGTCCATGACCCTTGTCAGTCAACTCACGACACCGCATCTTTCAACTCACAAGCCTCGTCGTCATGACAACAAAAACCTCTCACCGCATCACCTTACACAACCAAACATGCATCAGAAAACCTTGTGAAAAACATAAGCTCATTCATCGGGGTCACCGAGCCCCTTCTTAGGCGCACTGCACCGCTTCCACGGGAAATCGGGCAACGAACAAGTCCTACAGGACATCCTCATCCCCAACTCGGTGGGATGGTCCCCAGACAACAAGACAATGTACTTTACGCACTCCACCGACCGTAAAGTCTACGCATGGGACTACTCCCCCGCCGACGGCGCCGCCGCGCTCTCCAACAAGCGCGTCTTCTACACCCACGACGGCAAGGGCGAGCCCGACGGCTTCCGCGTCGACACGGAGGGCAACCTGTGGCACGCCGTCTACGGCGAGGGTCGCGTGCTCAAGATCTCGCCCCAGGGAGAGCTCCTCGGCGAGGTGCGCGTGCCGACGCTGGCGACGAGCTGCGTGCAGTTCGTCGGGACCGAGCTCTTCATCACGACGGCGCAGCTGAACGAGGGCGAGGGGACCGAGGAGCAGAGGGAGCTTGGGGGCGCGTTGTTCCGCGTCGATGTCGGCGCCAGGGGTCTGGAGCCGTTTGAGTTTAAGCTCTGATGGGGGGATTTTCCCGGGGAGAGGGACGAGATGGATCCGGGCTCTGGATTTTGAGGGTTCAACATGGGTTTGTGCTAGGTAGCGTGTAGCGTGATCGTGGTCATGGTCTCGTTTCATGGGTTCATGGCCACGGTTTCCCACTGATGGGGGTCTGGATGAACATGGGGACATGTGTCACGTCGCTGCATCAGATACGAAGCGCGTCCTTCACGATACTCTCACACGATGGAACACGAGCCCATGATGCTTTGGGGAGGCTGGATGACTGAATGGCCAGGGGTTCTGACTCCTTACTCCAAAGGAAACTAGTCAGGCAAGACGTTGATGGTAGGATGCGTTGATGACGGCAATGAAGCATACGACACCGCTCTTTCTCTCTCTCGGCCTCCCTCTCATTTTCGCCGTGCTTACCGCGTCTTGTTGTCGATTGCTAAAGAACCATACTACCATGCTATCGTGACATCTCAATGGCCAGGTTTCTCACGGACGTGGACGACGATAGCTTCATTGGGACTGGAAGTAGAATGCGTTGTCGATGACACCGGGTCCGAGGCCCAACCACCCTGTCCAACCTGCGCTTCTTGCGCTTCACGATAATATTTTTTTGGCGGTTTGCCTAGGAATGAGCCCTTTGACTCATGTCTGTTGCCAATTGAGTTGGTGATATGCACTCCGTATTGTATATAGAACTGCAGCATGCAGCAGGTTCGCCTCACTTTTACACCGTTCAGGTCCATCCATATACGGAGGGTGGGAAGAGCAGGGGAGATGCAACGGGCTATTTTCTTTTTTGCTTTTGGGCACCAATGCCTCTCGCAAAGTCTCAGCTCCTTGCTGCGTTTGCACTGCATGCCTTACTGGTCGTACTCCGTTGCATTCCATCGCGGGACGTATGACAGCGGCGTGGGAAGAGGTGCAGCTAGTGACGTCCGACATCGCTAGTGTATATGCATAAAGGCAAAAGCCATGTATGTAGCCCGCGGAGGGACCAAGGTCCAGTCGAACCCAACGAACCTGACGGTCCTGTTCACGCCCACCACACCCACACCTGTCGTCCGTCGTCGCCTATCTGCTGCATCTGCAACATCGACGTGGCAGGCCGGTCGCGGGTCATGTACACATACATACAAAACTCGTGCGGACCAGGTACCGCCGTCTGGCCGGGTGAGTCTGCCTCTCTTCCCCTCTCCCTCGCCTTCTCGCAGTCCCGGTTTTCTGAGATCGGAGAATTAAAGTGGCTCCCCATGGAACGAACGACCGGGGGCCTGCCGTATCGTGCAGTAGATCGGAGCCCGAGCCGCCATGTCATCCCATTCCCATGCTAGGCGGCCAGGGGAAGGGAAAAATCGAATTGCGGGATTGTGTCTCTTGGGTTTAACCTGGGCCTAGTCTAGCCCATCCAGCCGGCCCCCAGGACCCCTGGTGTCCCGGCGATGAGCCCCGGATCCATGGTTTGCCGCCGCCGCCGCCGCCGTCGCCGTCCCGTGCCACCGCTGGTTTTCCCAGGCCGCTACTTGAGTGCATACATGCGTACCGGGAACAGATCCTTGGGAAAGCCGTGCTGTAGCTCCGTCTTGACGAGGCGCAGACCCGCTTGCTCAAAGAGGGCGCGGAACTTGTCATCCACCCTGTTTTGCGTTTTGCCATGCGTCAGTGTCCTGTGTATGTAGGTATATGTATATGTATGTGCAGGTGTCTTGCATGCGTCGCAGGCCATCCAGTTACGTGGGCCATTGAGAGTTATTGATGGCCGGTGCGGCGGCAAAAGTTTCAAACAACATGACGGTTGGTGGCAGAGGTTGGCGACAAAGAACCAGGGTAGGGAATCGGGGAGGAAAATGATAGGCTTGAAAGTAAACTTACCTCGTCACACTGCTGTCAATATCATCAAATAGATCGACACCGCTAGTGCTCAAGTTTTCCTTGACGACGATGAGGCCGTCATTGGGGGCGACAACAGCCTTACAACGACGCATGTAGGCTACAAGTTGGTCATCAGTGAGGTGGCCGAGACACCACTGGTTCCATACGAGGTCGTAGGCGGTGCCATCAAGTGGCTTCCACTCTTCAAGGCCAATGTTGAAGACAGAGCCGACACCAGCCTTCTCCTGGAGAGCGGCGGTGAACTTCGCTATGGGTTCGACGATGTCAACTTGTTCAGCTACATCGAGGAGGAACCCCTCTGTAATACGGCCGATGCTGGGGGTTGGGGATTAGCAAGGGTCTGCATGACACGGAGACTTGAACCGGGGAGACAGGGATGTTGCAGCAAGTATCCGTACACCATGGTGAGAGGTTCCGACGTGAGATGCAAAAAGCAAGACAAGGGCTGAAGAAACGGGTCAGGAGAGGCAAATCATTAGCTCGGCCCGCTCGTGCAGTGTTGCGGTTGCGGTGGGTAAGGGTAGGTAGAGGGTAGAAGTGAGACAGAGAATGGAGGAAACTGAGCATGAGTGACTGCAGAAGGAGGCAAAAGGGGAAAAAAAGGTTGGGAGGCGGTGAGTTGAGATAGCGGTGAGAAACGCCGGGGGGCGTGTACGGATATGAAGTTTGCGAGGTCGAGTCTGAAAATCAAACGCGAGGCATGTCCAATGTACGGGTACACCGTACGGAAGAGAAGAAAGTCGCAAAGAAAAACTCACCCGGCCCCGCCTTCCAGAGCGCGGCTCACCGTCCGCAGACCGCTCTTCGAGCCAATGCCCAGTTTGGCGAGAAAGTTGCGCGAGCCCTGCAGGTCGACCTTGCTGATGTACGGGAAACCGCCCAGCATACCGTTCACGTCGGCGTCGATGCCCTGCCAGTAGGAACGGCCATCGGCGGCGCTGATCTTGGCGTCTGGCGGCGGTGTGGCTGTCTGTCCTGCTGTTGCTGTTCCTGCTGATGCTGAAGCTGCGGCAGCTTCTTCGTCACCGGGCATTGTGACGCAACGCGGGCAGCGACACGCAACCTCACTTGCTCGTCTTTTAGCAGGTGTGTGTGGTTGATGAAGTGTGTGGCTCGTTGGCGGACAGCGTGGTAGTGAAGAAAGGATCGGAGGTTGCTTGGCTGTGTCACATTGTTGAAGAATATGTGCACTGCATCACAGCAGCATCGGTTGACGTGGATGCGAAGATGGAGACGACTCGGGTTTGTGCATTTTCACTGGATTAGCAGAAGTGACGTGTGTTTAGGTGCATACAGAGAACCGATATCCTACTGAAGGACAAGTATCACTTAAGCATGGTGAAGAAAGCTCCTACCATGTGAGATAAGATAAGAAGATGCCGATAAGGCTTCTGAGACCATGGAAGCCTGGGAAGATAAGAAACCTAAGTCGTCATCCATCACGCGAAAAGAAGCTCTCGGTCTAAGGTTAACCTCCCAACTCTATCATGACGGACTGCACCGGGCCCTTCGTTGCCCACTGCGCGCAATTAAGTTGCCATGAGAATGCTTGCTGAAATATCTGCACTATGGGAGTTTCTTTTGCCTTTTGGTTTTTATATCCATCTGAACCTCCAACCAACCTAAGTTAATCTCAGCTCCTGCAGCTGTCAGCCTCTCCCGGAACCCTACGGAGCACCGGCGGAGGAAGCGGAACATAATCCCACTTCAACATCACGACACACCTATATGCCGACCTCGTCTGATGGCCCGTTGATTTCCAAGTCAGCCAGTGCTGTCTGGAAGACTTCTTTTCCGTTCATGTCCAGTCTGCATTGTGGCACCGCCTGCGCCCGAACACACACCTTTATGTGAACGACACTTTGCAGGACCGTTCGGCCGTTATGCGCATCAACTTCCAGGCAGCGGGACGTTGGAGGATTCAAAGGGACGATTTCGACTACATATTCCGGACGGCCTCTGTCTTCTCAACTTCTGCAACCAGTCAAGTGACTGTGCTTCTCCCTTCGGAAACATTTGCGACGAAGCGGGAACTGTTTTGCCTACAAGCCGGCCACCAATAGTAAAAGTCGCCGTACTCAGCCACACCAGTCCATGCCGGCCTCGTTCCCAATTGCCTCATGGACGATGTCAAACTGACTGACCTCATCAACAGACGAGGTGGTATTTTTGAAATGGGCCTCGAATGGAAATAGTTCGTCGTCCCGGTGGGAGCGATTGGGTCACCTCTTGGGATTCGGCTGTGACATTCCTCACCTCGTCTTCCAGAGTCCCCACGACTCCGGCAAAACTTGTCTCTGAAGCGAGCGGCTCATGTCTAAAACTTCCAAAATAGGATCCCGAGGGGCCGCAGTGTGGCCTGTGTCTCGAGTTGCAAACGATTATTTCCAAATACCTACCAACTGATCTGCGATGGATCCAGGAATCCGGGGATGCCAAGAGTTGTAACCAACATGCAACCGATATCAGGCGCGAGAAAGATTATGGAACAGAGGATCTGCAGATTCCTTGGAGGACATCGTTTCCTCAGCCTACAGGGCCTCACCCTGAACGCCTCGGCCAAGGCCGGTGCCTCTCTCGACCTCACGACATCGACATCATGTGATACTCCAAGAAAACACAGCCCAGTTGAGGTTTTGCGTGGTGCGGTCCAGGCTTTTTTTGCGGCAAGGGGCCTTTCTGGGCTGAGCGCAAAGCCCAGCCGTAACCAGGCACGCCAGGTTTCTCCTACACACTACCATGCTTCTGATACTAGCCCGGGGCCCGAACGTCCAAGATTGGGTCCCCTTTTCTTCCCCGCGGGGGCGGAACCTACGGATCGCGTGAGGCAGCGAGCCCACACGACATTCGATTGCCTGTCTAGATCACTGGTTCGGTATTTCGGCAGCCTTGTGGCTGCATCTGCTACTTGAAGCTGTACGGCTCTTCGGCTTCTAAGCGCCGTGTCAAAAAGCTTGACTGACAACGGTCACCGACGACGGCATACTGCACCCGCGCCGCGTAAGTCTATTCCCTCGCATCGCGGGTTCCCTTGAATCTTTCCTCGGTGAAGACGATATCCGGAGCTGAATCAGAGTTCAAGGACAAGGGGCTGTCAAAATTACAGTTGTATGCTTCTTTTTTTTTTCCCCGTCACCATGCCCTAGTCATTTGTCAATTGCGCATATCAGCAGTTCTCTAGACTGTCAAGAAATGTGCGTAATCCTCCTGGGAAAGCGTTTAATCCGCCAGCCTATCGAATCCCATCGTTTTCGGATTGAGTCGTGGGCAACCATGCAACGAATGGTGTCGAGAAGATGACGAGCAGGGTGGGACGAAGCGAGGCGGTTTGAGGCGGTTTGACCTTGCTCGCCTCCCATGGTGTGTTCTTCAGCACCGGCCCAACCACATCACCCGTTGAACCACCAAAGGGGATCAGGGGGATTGAACAAAGTTTGCTGCCCTCAAACGTGAAAACGCGACGAGAGGATGGGAAGGGGGGCACGAGCCAGGCAGATCACCCGTGGTCGTGGTCAATCGTGTGGATTTCTCTCCGGATCCCCCAATGCTTATTCCTGAGACCGAACAGGGGCGACCTTTGAGTTCCGAATCAAGCATGAATAACCTTACAAAGTCTGTGGGTGGCCCTGGTTCGCGCTGCATGATACGAAAAGGGCGTGGGACTGAAGACTTCGGACGAGGGAACAGAGTTTCGGTTGCCTCGAGCACCTTACCCTTTTGAAGGTCTGGATGTAAAGGACTTGGGATGACGATGGACCGAGTCCCGAAACGACTCTCTACGGTTGGCCTGACTCAACGGTTGTTACTATTCTCATTGCGATGCAGATGAGAATATCGACAATCGTCTCTTGGTCCATGAAAGGTGGCTCAGCGCCTAGCACATTGACATCTGTACTGCTAGAGTGGTTTCAGGCACTCTCGGTCACATTGTCTCGACATGTTCCGCCTCACGCCACTCACAGTCGTATTGGGGGCACCTGATTTGGGACGAAAGATGAGTGAGTACATAAAGATCTGGCTCGTTCCTCGTCATTTAGATCATTTTTGATTTGGTTCGACGGCAGGCCTCACAGTATCAAATTTAATACAGACATTCCCTTGGAAACGGTTACTTCGGTTCAAACATTCACATCAAATCATCTAATATTTCATCAACTTCGGTTCACTTCAGTCCATCAAAATGAAGTTCCTTACATTCGGATTCCTTCTCGCCTCGACGATCGTTAGCGTCAGCAGTGCTCCCGCAGATATCGATAGCAGGGCTGTCAGGTAGGCCTAGGAGCTCATCTTTCACAGCAACTTTTCACTAACACCGTCAGTTATCAAAACAACTATGACCAACACTTGGAGGACCGCGAGGAGCGCAAAGAGGCTCGCGACATCTCCGTCCCCTCGTTCGCCGGTGTCGAGACCACCAGCGGCGTGATCGCTGACATTGAGGTCGAGGAGAACGCCGTTCCCCTGAGGGCCCGCCAGCTTCTCAAGAAGAAGAAGGGCAAGAAGGGCAAGAAGGCGAAGAAGGCTAAGAAGGCAAAGAAGGCGAAGAAGGCCGCGAAGAAGGCAAAGGCCGCTGCCCCCGCAAAGGCCAAGGGCAAGGCCGCCGCGCCCGCCGCCGGTGCTGCGAAGAAGAAGGCCGCCGCTCCTGCTACTCCTGCCGCCGGCAAGGGTAAGGGCGCTGCTGCTCCTGCTGCTCCCGCCGGTGGCGCTGCTGCTAAGGGCAAGGGCAACGCTCCCCCCGCGGCTGCTCCTCCTGCTGCTGCACCTCCTGCTGCCGCACCTCCCGCCGCTGCCCCCAAGGCTCCTGCTGCCGCGCCCGCCGCCAACCCTCCCGCCGCTGCTCCTCCTGCCGCCGCTCCCAACGGCGCCGCGAAGCCCATCCAGCCTGCTCAGCCGGCTGCTGTCGCACCCGCCCCTGTTGCTCCTGCGATTCCCGCAGCCAAGGGCAAGAACAACGGCAACTGAGTTATTTCTCAGCTAGTTGTGGTGGATGGAGGTTAATGGATAGAGAAAATCAGCACTGGTGCTGGTTGCTTGATTCGGTTCACGAGGTTTACGACAATGCGCAGTTACGGCGATTTCACAGGACCAAACAGATGTGGTGACAAAAAGGTTTAGCCGCATAGGATGTGGGCAAATCCCTTCTTGAGACCCTCCATCTCAGTGGTGGTCAAGTCCGTGGGCTTCGTCCCTGGCAGCTCAGGAAGCAGCCCTCGAGCTGTCATTGAGACGTGTTGACGAGTTAGGGGTTTGAGACCGGAGTGCGGAAGTACGTACATAGCCACAACGAGCAATCCAAGCGTCAGACGTTTATTCCCAACTTCTTCGTTCTCGTCTCTCTCCTCTTCGTCGTAGTGAGTTGCGAGTGGTCAAAGGCCGGCGCTGCACTCTCAAGTGAATCTCAGCATGACGATGCGCCTGTGAGACGGATATCTTGGCGCTATGATGTCCGCGGCCTCCTCTTCACCAAGGAATCCCTTTCCTCGTTTCATGGGTTGGACCCATGGAAACATGTTTCACTCTGGTCCCTGCTAACCACCACACCAACTTCAACCCACGGACATGCAGGTCACATACGGATACCATGTGCACGCTGTGGCCGTCTCAACTTCTATCCTCCTTGCTGCCCCCCTCCTCCGTTCGTTACATTTTACTTACCAGTGTCACCATCCAAGGCCAAGTTTACGAGCAACGGGACCCGATCTCTCCGGCGACCTGATCGACAGATTGAATGCAACCCTCTCTCATGAGATTTTCCGAGTGGCTGAACCGAGACCAGCAAGAATGGCTTGGCCAGCGAGTATTGGTCTAGCTCTACACGATTCTCTACCCTTCTTTGGTAGCTACCTCGCCTTTGTCGAAAACAGGCCTGAATATCTTGGCCAACACTCCCGACTCAAGTCCGAGAGCTCCGGCCGCTCCACCCGGTCGCACCGGACACCGACAACCAATAAAGATGTCATTCCCATGATTCGGGCTTTTGGGTCAAATGAAGCTTTCCCTTTCTGGAGTCCACCCCCCGTCCACGAGGTACGTCCACTTTTCCCCTCTTGGCGCGCTCTTCTCTCTTTCGTTCTTCATCCCCACCGAATTAACTATTGCGTCCCCGTTTTCCCGCACGCACATTGAAGAAAATTTCAACGACCTCTCCACCATCAAGCCCACAACAACCCACGCTTGAAAGACTAAGAGCACATTCTGCCTCCGAATCTTCCATCACCGGGTTCCCATCCCTTCGACTCCATCAAGTCGTTAAATGGCCGGTTGGCCCAATGGCAAGGCGTCTGACTACGATTCCCTCAAAAGAACGTGTAATCAGGAGATTCTGGGTTCGACCCCCAGGCTGGTCAATTGTTTTGCCTCAGTATTGTAGTTGGTGATTGTTCTTTTGTTTCCCTTCCATTTTGGCTGAAAATTCCGAGGATGTCTTCTTACACCCTCCGACGCCACCTTAGTCAGATGCCAGTCAGATGGGCGGGAAATCGACTCCGGTTGGGTGGCCGTGTAACATGAAACGAGTGCTGAGTCGATTGTGGCCACGAGGACCCAGTCGTCCTTGTTTACGAACCTACCGTACATTGCGGGATTTCACTCCAGGCGAAGATGAATGAAGATGATAATTGCAATTCATTCAACAGTGAAAACCGTAGGTCGTTGAACAAAAACTCTCCCCATCACAATTTAGGGATAAGCTTAAACTGGGTGACAGAACTCAAGCGTGACGCGAGCAAGAAGTTTGTTGTCGCGATGCTTTTCGCTACTGAGGTCCCTCGTTCCCTGTACAAGCTCAGGCTTTTGCTCTGTATTTTGTCACTCTGAAGCTTATTCGGAAGAGAGACGTCATGGTCATAAGTCGGAGTCGTCGGACCACGCGAGAGAGAGAGATTTGTTGGGGCTTGTGCTTTGAGTTTTTTGTCGTCATCGTTGGACTTGTCTTCGTGAAGGAAGTGAGTGATTCTCTCACCTCGCGCTCAGTGATGTTTTTCAAAGGCCAACCACCTACACCAAATAGGGCATCATTCGTATCATGCATGCCTCTTGGCGCAGAACATTGCAACCTCCCAGAGATTCCATCAACGTATGGCTCTCGGACCATCTCGGAAGACTTCTCTCAGTCGCCTTTCTCCTCTGTCAAGGATCCCTCGACGATTGGCAAAAGCTTATCTCCAGCGGGCGTCGAGGCAAGCTCTCCTCCCCCAAGTCAAGGGTCACACTTGTAGTCCAACTTGGCTCAAATGTCCGTTTATTCAACAACAATGGACTACATTCGAAGCCTTGTAGAAGGGATAACCCGTCAAGGACTTAATGTTCACACTGGCCTAACTGTCAAGTGTCTTGGAGTAAGTCTATTCTGCTTCTTCTGCACGCTGCCTGGGCTGGGTTGATTGAGCACGTAATGCCTTGGAGACCTGGGCACGTGAGAGAGAGACACGCCACAACGCCAGGAAGGATGAATGCCCCCTCCCATGCAATTGAGCAAGTATGCTCTCTGCCCTTGTAGTGAAGAGGGAAGCTGTGTCTTTGCGACATTGCATATCGATGCCTCGCCCTTTGTAGCGTTTGTCATACCCCAGAGATGGGAAGACACCAATCAGCCAGGCGGGTAAGAAAACATTGATCAATCTCGTTCATATCAGTGCACTTCGTGCTTCGTTCACACTCCGGCAGCTGATGGTGAAATGAAAACGCTATGTGTGTAATGAGGCATGATGCACAGAAACATCACTCCATTCATTGCCACATCTTATTCCTCTCCTGGTTTAAAAGTACACATTCAGTCGACATGAGCTATTGCAACTTTATCGCTCTCTAAAAACTGTGTGAAGCGTCGATTGATCCATAATCGACTCAAATTGCGGTGCAGTACTACGAAACGCAAAAAAGATTGCTCCTGGTGAGGATCGAACTCACGACCTCCGCATTTCTCACATTGATGATGTAATTATAAGAACGGCGCCTTCACCACTTGGCTACAGGGGCTTTCTTAACTTTTGACAAAATTTACTTTATCAACCCCTTTTGCACCCCCGGAGCTCGGTCCGGCACCACGCGACGGTGCGGCGCAACAACTGCGCATACATCCACATACACAAAGCACAATCCGTAAAAGCATCCGATGCAACTCCGATTTTCTTCACAAAGAGCGCTGTCCTCAAAATCGTCGAGATGCTCTGTTCCAACAAGGTGATGTGCACTGTTAGTGCAGTACATTGTTGCAGTGCACCACCTCTATCAGAGAGTTTAATTGGGTGTTGTGTGTCTTGGTGGGGTCCGGATGACGGGTGAGGGGGAGAGCTGTCATCGGAGGTAAGGTGCGACACCTTTACGGGCTCCGTCAGCGGTCCTATGGAAGCCCAAGACGTTGAGTACACCTGGCGGCTGATACGTGGGCTGCTCTGCAAGTGCAGATTTGGGTTTGATGTAGTCTTTCTACAGTTGTCTTCCTTGTGTTCGGTCTCCTTCCCCTGAGCTTGTTGTATACTTTTAGCTGTCCGCTCAAGTAGGGACATCTTGCGTCGCCGGTTCAGAGTCGGCAGCGTTACCAACATGGTCCAACCGACCCTCTTCCTGGTGGATCTCCTGGCGGTTGTCGACAAGAACGAATGCCCTCAGCGCCAAGATTACAAGTCACAGCATAGCAAACGAGGATAACGATACGACTGCGAGATGACGTGCCATTCGTCGGCGACTGTTTGTCACCGCGATTGATCTTCACTATTAGATTCGCCGGCTGCACATCTGCCCCCAAACTAGAATAAACACGAGAAAGCACAAGTATGCAATGATGAAATGGATGAGGTACTAGATTCAGACTTGCGATGCCGCTGCCGCCGCCACTACCGCTCCGAAGAGTGGGGCAACCGGAGCCCGGAGGACGCTGGGCATTCTCGAAGACGAACCCCGCCGCCCCGATGACAACCTCCCGAGACTCACGTTACTCTCCAATGAGTCTCTCTAATTATTGTCTACGAAGACCAGTAGCTCTATGCGTTTCGCAGATGATAAATTAGTAATACATTCGTCCTACCTACCTTTATCTTAGACAGCATACATTGTTGTGCATTGGAACTCCACTATCCATACATTCGGGAGCACTTCGGGAGCACTTTGATGTACCCTACTTAGTTTGTTATGGAGTAAAAGCCAGCTAGACCTCTTTTATAGCTACGAATATGAACTCATCATAGCAGAGCACACTTGAACTACACCTTCATACGACTGTAGTCTCGGAAGAGATGTCAGAAAAAATATGACCCCACCAGGCCAGGTATTAGGCAAGGACGTATTCCCATAGTCTCCATTGACCTGCATTTTATAAGGCACATGAATCCATGGCCGCTTACCTTTTCCTGAGTGAAATTATGCTGTTGGCAAGGGCCATATTGCTGCAACAATCGAAGGAAGCAGACTCACGTTCTTTTCCTGAATGGAGGCGACTGCCACTACCTTCAGTTTTCCTCCTTCTTAGCGATGGGAAGCCTTATCTACCTGGACCTTTTGAGGTTGCCTCCTCAAGGCTCGGCCAGTCTAGAGTACTGTGGACGCAAAGAGAACAGAAGAGGGACTATCAGGTGAGGTGCTTTAAGAGAACAATCCGTTCGGCACCCTGTTGTAACTTATTCATATTCTCCGGAGTATACAGCCAGGAATACCCGACGAGAGACAACTGACAGCCCCAATTAGCGGACCCCCTCGCACATCATTTTTGATGCCATCACGCATGTCTGTGGTTCCAACGAGAAGCTTATGACGGAACTTTGGACGCTGGTCGACGAATACATCGAGAGGGATCGCACTGGCTAATCTCTTGAACGATGGTTCAAGAAGAGCCCATCTGGTCGCTTCTTCCGAGAATATTCCCGAAACCTGGCCTCCAGATGCCCTTTGGTATTTTTTTTCCTCCCTAACGGCATCACCTAAAGGAACTACGTCCTCGCCATGTTAAACTTTTGCCAACATGTAGTACTAGACCCGTTCGGCTTAGAGGGAAGAAACATCCCGGGACAGAAACATAAACTTCAATAGTGATCCAAACCCAACAGTAGCGCTCAATGTACTCCATCTCACGGCTTGAGAAGGCTCAACCTAGAGTTAGCTCTTTCTACTTACGTATCCGCCAACTCACTTTCCAAATTACCACGAAACCACGCTCTGTCGACACAAGCAGTGTTACACAAATGGCAATCGCCAACATACCTCGTCGTGTAGAAAACTAACTCGTCATCTACGAGCAGCAACCCCGCCTTCTCTAACTGAATGCAAAGTCGAATGCCCATAGATTCAGCCCAGAGATCTGATCTTCAACCTGTAGCTCACATAGGCGGTTGAACTGCGCACTCCCGTGTCTACGAGGATAAAACAATTCAGATGCTGCGTCTTGGAGGGTAATATTCTCAAAAGCTGCCAACCCCATAGACGAAGCGGAGCTATGCGATGTTGGAGAGACATCATCATACATTTGTCTAGGCGTAGCATCGCCAATAAGACGTCCCAGACGACCAGTGCGGCATCGCAAACCGCAGGCATATGCAATTGGCAATCTTGACTATCCCCAGAGGCTCCAGCAGAAACACGAGACGGACTACATCACATCAACCCACGTCCAGAAGAACAATCACCAACCTCAACACATCTAACCTCTCATCTTACAAAAGGTCATTCTCCAATAAATCGTACCACTTCGTGATTAAATCGTACATGCCCGTCCCGGACAAGTTCTATCAACGACACATTTCCGTAAACACATCTTATAATATATCTCATTTGCCCCCCCGCCTCCCTTCCTCCCCCAATCACAAAACACACTCGCCTCATTGACCCCCCACAGCGCGTCCCACCGCCCCCGCAATCTCCCCAAACAAGACGCCCTTGAACACGCTCTCGCCCATATTCTGCGTCCAGTGACCCGCCTTGGAAAGCTTCTCCTTCCAGAGCTTTTTCTGCTGTGGCGCCAGGTCCTCCCAGCTCACCGCGGGACCGTACACCTCTTCGTCGTGCACGGCGGCCTGAAACCTGGGGACGGGGTCTTCTTCAACGTGCGTGGGGCTGACAACGTCCTCGCGGATGACGATCGGGTCTCCCTGCAGAGCGTGGACGTCGCCGATGAGAGAGGTGAGGAACTCGTTGGGCACGTTTGCGACGGAGCCGCGGCTGGGGAGGATGCGCGGTTGGATTGCGCCCATGGTTTCGAGGCCAAGTTGGAAGAGGATAGCCAACACGAGGACGAGGACCGTCGTCGCTGCGAGCCAGGTCTTGGACCACTTCCGGGGCTGCAGGGCAACCGCATAGCGTTGGGGACGCGGCGGACCGCCCTTGCGGATGGGGGCGTCCCTGTCGGTGAACTTCTTCAAGAGGATAGAGTGCACGATGACGGTATTCTTCATCGAGATACTCGCCAGCTTGATGTACTGAGGGCGGGCGGTGGTCTTGGGCGGAATGTAGTGGGAGAGGGCGACGTTTGTGATCTGCAGAGGGTGTACTTCCTTCAACGTCGTGAGCAGATCAAAATCGACAAGCAAGTCAATGCTCGAATGCGCATGGTGCTCGAGCGTGAAGAGTGATATCGACCGATCCTGACCAACTGCAGCGACGAGGAACTGCGCGTTGCCAATCTTGGCACCGGGGGCTGAGGGAGGAGTGAGATTCCGCGCAGCAATGGTCGTGATTTGGTTCACCGCACGAGGCAGCTTCACCGTCGCCGCCAAGCGTCCAGGTTCGTCCTCCTTGAGCGGAAGTCGGATTCCTAAAAGGATTGCACCACCCCGCTTGGGAATGTTGGTGCCCGCCAGAACAAAATCTTTTGAGAGGTACCGGATTGACCGGAAGTTGGGCCAGGTACCGGAGCCGTCCTCCTTGATTTCGTAGGCATGGTGAGGACCGTCAATCTCAGACTTTACAACATTGATGATGAACAGCTCGCGCTCGTCGCAGTACGCGACCTGGTACGAATCCTCCCCAGTCTGAATGACATCCACGTCCACGGGCTCCTTGGAAACGTCCAACTGTCCGAGAATCTTGGGCTTGGTAGCATTCCCAGCCGCAATCTCGAAAATCGCAATCTGCGACTGCTTAGCCAGCCCCGTCGCCACGACACCAAGCTGCTTCTCGCCGTACGACGCAGACAGCCGGAGGACGCGCTGGTACGCATCCTTGTCGATCTCGTTATGGGCAAAGATGGAGGCGCGCGACAGCTCAGCCAGGCTCACGCTAGGAGCGTTGGCGCCGGCCGAGACGCGCGCCTTGCTCTGCTCGATGCCAAAGGCGCGGAAGTGCTCGTTCTTGCCCTGCTCGACCTCGGCGGGGCTCGAGTTGATGCCGGCGTAGAGGTAGCTCGTTCTGCCCTTCTTGGGCCCGGCGGCGAGGGTCATGACGCTGTCCTCATTGCGGCTGAGGTCGGCTTCGCCGCTGATGCGCAACTCTTCCTTGGCTGAGGTGTCGATTACTGTCTGCGGCGCAGAAGGTTAGTCGCACGAAAAGGCAGATGATTGTGGGGGGGGGGGGGGGGGGTGGGAGGAAGAGCGATTGGGTTTGACAAACAATCTTGTTGGCGACACCGCTGCGGTTGGCACCACCTCCTCCGCCGATGAGAAGGCGATTCGGATCTTGGGGGTCGAATTCGCAGGCGTAGGGGAGGTAGTCGAGGGAGAGCTTCGCGGTCTCGAAGGGGGAAGCCATGGCTGACAGATCTGATGGCGGTCTTGGCGGGGGAGACGTTCCCTGCAATTGACTGAAGAATGGGTCCGAGGTATTAGGGGAAGAGGATTCGAATTTTGCTGAGTACACGTATCAATCGTCAAAGAACCATGGCCGACTGAGATTTGATTTGCGCAACACGTGTGTGTCGGAGGAAGAGCAGTGATGTTGAAGAAGGATGACGTTGGAACGAATGCGGAAGAAAGAAAAAAAAGAGTTGGCCAGATGGCCTTGCCGAGTTAGTTAGGGGGGGCAACGTCAGTTTGCCTCAGCTCTGGTTCTGGTCTGGAACCTCTCCACGTGTGTTTTAGTGCAAGTAAGCTCAGCTGGAGCACGGGGCAGGCAACCTAAAGCTGTCACTTCACAGCTCAGCTGGGGGAGCACGGGGAGACCCTTGTTCTTCTTCCTAACTGGCTGTGTTGATCATTTTTACCCATATTTCTCCCTGTCCCCAGAACCAGTTCCTCAGAGCCGCCAAGATGAACAACTTCATTTCATCTACTAATACTTACTTTGCCACCATCAGGTTTTCTGCCGTCTTTTGCTATCAAAGCTTTCACTCTACCTTCATATTAAGGATGTCTTAGTCAAGTTAAACTAAGAGAAACAACAAGCATCGTATTCTGCTGTTGCTGTAACCACCACAAAGTCGGTGGATCTATAGTTCTATGAATGGAAGCATTTACTGATAGCTTCTCTCTAAATGATTTATTGCGCTAAGTAGGATGTGTCTTTTCATCCCCAAACGAAAGCGCAAACTACCCTCGCTGGCACAGTGTGCTGGTGGCACGATTCTATCCCCTCCAAAAAGAAAAGAAAAAGCCCATCCTGTCAAGGCCTCAAGGCTCAAGCCTTTCTCTCTCTATTTCTCTCTCAAAGGGCATTTTGACCGCGCTGGACTGCGAACCAGGTGTCCCGGGCCACATTGATCTGGTACAACCTGCTGGGGGCAACGGGAATGTTTTCCTCACGCCTCATGTTGCCCATCTTGTTCGACTCCAGGGGGCGAATGGTCTTGCCACTGGGCGAGATTGACTGTTGATCTGGACGGCTCTGCGTCTGCTGGCCTTGTTGCCTTTGTTGAGCCTGGGAAGCCTGCTGGTGATCCAAGATGATTTGAGCACCTTCCATGACGTTGTTGTAATGGTGAATCCGCTGCTCCCATTCACCCATTACTCTGGCACCATGGCGATTCTGCCTCGTGATTCGAATCACCTCGTTGCAGTCGTGGCAGATCTGATCCTTGAGACTGGTGTGCTCGGATGGTTCGCGATGCATGCAGCCATTTCTCGTGGATCCACGGCTCTTGATGCAATCATAGGTGACGCACTCAACATGCTGGCACGCATAGGTGTAGAAGACCTTTTGGCACATCTTGACTGCGATGACTAATTCAGCCCTGACTCGTTAATGAATGTTTCCAAAGCACAAGGGCGAGTGAGTACTCATACCTGATCTTCTTTGATGTTGGTCCTAGTTGTATAGTAGGAGATTGCTTGCAGATAGTGTATAAGTGACCGTCTTTGTCGAGGTTAAAGGAGGAAGGTCCGACGCTGGTGGATACGCGAGAGTTGTGTCGGGAAGATCGTCAGACTAGTTTCTAAAGAGCCAGAAAGGATCTTGGAATGGGTAGTCGACTGTAGAATTGGAGGTGTCGAATTAAGAGATGCGGGCGACCATCTTCTAGGGGACGAGGGCGATCTGGGAGGTATCGAGGCTGTTCTTTGATTTGAGGTTGGTGTACAAGAAGAATCCTTTGGCCAAGAAAGGTGCTACGCTTTCTTCCAGTGCTAGTTCTAGTCGATGGAAGGCGAGATCGAGATTTCTCCTAGGAAGTTGCCTTTCCAGACTCTGCTGAAATCTCTGTAAAAGGCTTAGGTTCCCATGAGAGAATGTGTTTAGGGTAAGCAGGAGCTGTTCGTCAAGAAACAGGTCAGCAAATTGTTTGGAGATGAGGAAGTCTTTGTGAATATTGCGACTGCAGTGCTCAGCAAGACATGGGCGAAAGCCAAGAGTCTTCGTTGATTGATGTAATGATGAAGTGCTGGCAAAGGCAGAGGGAATCAGGGCCGAGTTGCAATGGTACGTGAAGGGAAGATTAAGGCGAGGGTGAAAGGCTCCGAATAGAAAGTGCGAGGCCGAGGAACTTACCAGTACAGAAAAGGTTGAGCTTTGCTTGTTTGTCCCTGTATGCCTCCCAAAGTCAGCTACGGTATGGTCAATCGTATGAAGATGTTCAAGATCGTGAAGGGAAAGTCCTGCAAGAACCACCAATTTTCTGGAGTGATTTTGTCGGAGCGCAAGTGTTGTAGCAGTGGTTGGAGTAGGGGCGGGTTTGATACTCATTGAAAATGGACCTGTCAATCGAAGGAGTCGATCAGGACGACTTTTCCTGAGAGGATGTCTGATTTGTCTTCGTGAGGTCTGCGATAGGAGTGAGGTTAGCGTCGTGAAACTTATTCGCAATCCAGGTTGACTTGGCGTTGGCCCAGGTAGATGGAGAGTATGGGGATAGGTATCGTACCGGGCAAAGGAAGCAAAAGGTGATGTTGGTGAGAGTAAGGGAGAAGGGAGCTAGGACGTGGAGGAAGATATTTGTAGTCCTCTGTGAAGTGTGCTTGATGGAGTTGTGAGCGAGGTAAGGCTCGACCAACTGATGGGAAGGGGGAAGTTGAGAGGAAGGCTCAAGTGTACAAATGGAAAATATTGATACCCTGGGTTGGCTTTGGATGGGGAGGGAAAACACCGATCCAGAACCCAAATTTGAGGCGAAATTCGAGACCGAAAAGTCCGGTGTCGAGGGGTCGAAGTGGCTGGACGAGGATACAGATGAACCGGCAAGGCAGGTGAAGTCTGCGAGGTGTCGAGAAGACAATTCTCCCAATGTGGTTGAAGAAGGTAACGACGAAGGCGGAGATGGACGACAAAAAAGAAAAAAAAGCCGACGAACCTCTCACAAAAAATCGACTGTATCGTGATATCTTCAACCAGAAAACTAGCCGCTGTGAAGACGTCGAATCGCGGGAGGCGTTCCCAGTTCGTTTCAAAGGACGACGCTCGAGAACCTAAACCATTACTCCACGTCGATGGCCCGGGATTGTTGCAAGTCGGAGTTTTGAGTGAGCATATGTTGAGCATATGCTAAGCTTGAGTCGAAGTTGACGAGAATAATACAAGACGCCGCCAGCACTGGGGCGTAAGTACTCCCGCCAGGGTCCCATCAGATCTATAGTTGAGATGGAAGGAGGAAGGAACGACCACCTCAGCCAGCTACCTCTTTCCTCCATTCATCTCAACCAACGTTTCCAAAAATAACACGCCAAGTCAACCAAATATCTCAATCGTCCTTCACTCATAACAGTCACTTTCACATCTCTCTCTCACATAATCACAGTCTCAGCTCCGGCAAGACGAAGTCATCTATACTCAATTAACATTTGTATTTCCCTTCAACCACCCAAACAACTCCAAGGCAATACGCTACTACAACTACACCCACTTCGTCAAAAGCCAAGACAAAGACCGAAGCATCTTATCGCCATCTCCAAACGGGGAGAGGGGGAGGGGCTGCTTAATCAACAAGAATCTTCTCCTCCAACTCTCCAAACCGTTCATAGAAGCTCTCAAATAACTTAATCGCATGCTCCACATCCGCACTACCGCCCGTCTCGCGAATCGAATGCATACTCAACTGCGGGTTCCCCAGATCCAGCGTCCTCACGCCAAGCTTGGCGCTGAGCATGGGACCAATCGTGCTTCCGCACGGCGAGTCGTTGCGCACGACAAACAACTGCAGCGGAACACCCGCGAGGCGCGCGCACTCCTGCAGAAGCACGATGCCGGGCGAGTTGGTCGCGTACCGCTGGTTGGCGTTGACCTTGATGACGGTACCGCCGTTCATGGCCGGCTGGTGCGAGGACTCGTATTTACCCGCGTAGTTGGGGTGCACCGAGTGCGCCATGTCGGCCGACACGAGGAAGGAGCGCGAGAGCGTCTGCTCGTAGGCCGTCGACTCGTAGTCCCCTCCGTCGTGGGAGGATACGGCCACGTAGGACCCGTCCGAAGCCGTGTCGCGGCTGCCCGGGAGGGAGGCGAGGCGGCGCAGGACGGCGGGGAGGAGGTTCGAGTTGGCACCGTGGGCCGAGGTGGAGCCGATTTCCTCGTGGTCGAAGCAGGTGACGAGACGGATGGTGGTGTCGTTTTCGAGCACGTCGGCGGCGCGGACCGAGGCGATGAGGCCCTCGATGGAGCAGTACGTCATATTGAGGTTGTCGAGGCGGGCCGAGAAGATGAACTCGTCGTTGAGGCCGCCGAGGCAGGACTTTTGCACGTCGTACAGGACGAGCTCGAAATCGATGACGGCCTCGGGCTCGACTTCGGCGTGAGAGGCAATGACGTCGAGAATGTGAGGGTGGTGACGCTCCGTCATGGCCTTGAGCGGCTTGAAATCCTCCTCGGCCTCGTCGCCCTCAGTAGCACTCTCGGGCTTGGCGCTCCCCTTGTTCAGCTCCGCCGTGGCCAGTCCGGCAATGGGAAACAGCTCATTCTCCTTGTTCGGGTCGAAAGTAGAGCTCCGGTCAAGGTGAATGGCCAGCGTTGGGATGCGCAGCAGCGGCTTGTCGACCTTGATCAGCTTCTGGACAAAGTTGCCCTCGGCATCCTTGACGAGGACGCGTCCCGCGATGCTGAGGTCGCGGTCGAACCAGCTGTGCCAGATACCGCCGCCGTAGGTCTCAACGCCGACCTGCATGAAGCCGACGTTGCTCTTCTTGGAGACGGGCTTGATGCGTAGGGTCGGGGAGTCGGTGTGGGCGCCAATCATGGCTACCGGGTTACCGGGCTTCCACTTCTTGCCGATGGCGAAGGCGACGATGGACGAGCCATTGCGGGTGAGGTAGTATTTCCCGCCCGGTCGCAGCGCAGAGTTCCACGAGTCGCGCTCCTTGATCTTTGTGAAGCCGGCCTTTTCGAGGCGGGCGGCGGCGGTCGCGCAGGCGTGGTAGGCTGCGAGTTGGGGGAGGGAGACAGTTAGCTAGGGTACCTTAAAGAGACTAAAGATGTTTGCGCGCGCAAACAGATTGCCAATTGTACTTACGAGTAGGAGAGGCGTTGACAAAATCGACAAAGTCGAGGGCGGCAGCGGGAGGAGCCATTGTGCTGGTGGACGTCGAGAATCGAGCTCGGGTCTGGAGGGGTCGTCGAAGGACGGTAACGGTGACGGTTGGGATGGCGGGGTTCTTGATTGATCTGGTAGAGGCTCGGCACAAGAAGGTTGTGGCCGATAGCATTTAGGGGTGCTAGATGAACAGATAGAAAGCTTTGCAATTGCAACTAGGAGAATATCACAGACGTTGCTCTCCTCTCTCTTTCTCTCTCTGTCTCTGTCTCGCGGATTCGTTCAGTTGTAAGGAAAGGTCACGAGGGGTGGCTATCAGGTCGCATGTCGTCAAAAGGTAAGCCGACGTTGATCCGGCGCCGAAAGCTGGGATTATCTGCTTCACCTGCCGAAAAGGAATGGGAGGGACCCAGGTGCGTTAGGTAGGCATGTAGGTAGGGTGGAGCGTGTGCACCACCGGCTTCTGAGCGTTAGGATGATGGCCCATGGGAGATCGGTGAGTGGTGGCCGTCGTGGTGGTGGTCCCCCAAAGACTTAGCTTGGGTTGGAATGATCCGTCGTAGACCGGCAGAAGTAGAGGTACGAGTATATTCCATTCAAAGTGCATCAAAAACTACCCGCGTCATGTATCTATACATATCTCACCACAGCCTACCGTCCATCCCGTGAGTCTGTATGTAAGGCAAGGTGAGTCTAAGGTAGGTACTGGCGCAGCCGGGCTAAGGCGCCTCAAGCTCAAGGCAGAGGCAAGGTAAAGTCGAAGGTATCGGTCGGATCGGGTCAGGTCAGGTTCAGCATCCATCACCTTGTTGGTGATTCGCATACACCACCAAAGACAAGATTCCCTTGATGTAAGTTGGGTTGAGTAAGTAGGTATTTGTTCGGATTAAAAAAGGATGCGTCGTTGGAGAGCATAAGCAGAGGGCTTCTTCGATGGTGGTCTCTATGCGCGACTTGACGCGCGCCCTCTCTCTCTCTCTCTCTCTCTCTCTCTCTCTCTCTCTCTCACCCTTGTCTTCTTCCTCTCGTACGGATCAATACGCATACGACACACACGCACACGCACACAAGCATAAATCTTGAGCATAAACACTTCCCATCGCAAGATGCGCAAAGTGCTACCAACCTCGGCTCGGCTGGGACAGACTGCGCTATCCCGCCTACAGTTGACAAAATTTCCTTCATGGCCCGCTGCCAACAATGGGGGTCCTCGTCTGCTCTTCACTAGATGACTAGGTTATGCTCCGTGGTAAACAGGCTATCCGTACAGCCAGGAAACACTGTAGGCCAAAGGTCCTTGCCCCTGGCCTGGCAGTGGCAGCGACAGAGGGGGAAACTGAGAGGCCTGTAGGAGATTTTGCCTACCCAGTAACAAAAAGCAGAGAAAGAAGAAAGAGAAGGATAAGACAGCAGGGAGGGAAAACAAAAAAAAGAAGCACCCAGTCCAGGGTCAAGGGGGAAAAAGAAGAAGGAGGAGAAGAAGAAGAAGAAGAAGGACAAGGCAAGGCAAGGCAAGGCACCCGAACCCGTGCAAAGTGGCGGCAAAGTCGACGACTGCAAAAACCCATGCAACCATGTTCGATACCTGGCGTTGCAGCACGACAGATACGGAATTGACCCCCCCGGCTCTGCAGATCCCAGGGATTTCCTTGAACACAACCCATAGCCAGCCAGCCAGGACTGACTGACTGACTGTCCCAGCAGTGCCTTTGCAGGACTCATGGACGGGATGATGGGGACACACAGTTTGGCACCCATCAAACAAGCCCATTATGCTTTCCCGTCCGTCTCTCACACGCTCTCTCTCCATTCTGTCTCAGTGCCCCTCCTGGTGGTGGTGGTGTTTCTACAAACAAGAAGAAACGAAAGGACTCGAAAAAGCCACACAGCCCATTCAAGTCAGAAGAAGAACAGCAACGAGAAGAGAAGAGGAGAGAGAAAGCTACCAGGGCAAACACCAGATGGCTCATAGCACCATGGTGAAACTTGTCACCGGTCCTTCCCTCCACTTCCTCCCATTTCCCAACGCCTGCCACACAAGCAACTCCTACCACCAAAAAAGACTTGGACCACTCTGAGCTCCGTACCGGTCGGGAGAGCCAAGCTCATTGGCGTGGCCCCCTTTTGGGATGCCCTGCAGGCGCTTGTCTGTGCTTCCTCCCCACCTCTCCATTCCTAAGCCAGGCGTACTAGGTCGATATGAGAGCTGCTGCTCTGGTATCCCGAATGGATACACATTAACACAGTATGTGTTGTAGAGTGGCAGGCTCCCAGGGTTGTCTAATCTTCATCTCGCCAAAAAAGATAAAAGATCTCTAGCCTCCCGTGCCTTTTTTGGCTGCAAATGGGAGCACGGAGGCAGCTTTTTGGCCCCCCCCGGAGCCTTTGCTGCCTGCCAGGCAGTCTTTGCTATCATGGCGAAGCTGATATAAGTACCTTGATCGTGTAGGAGTTGTGTGGACACCTTCTATATCCGTCCAAGGTACAGACGATGTGCAAGAGGTCATCTAGCCGTCGTGTATCCGTAGAGTAAATCGCACGCCACGAGACCTCCTCCAGTCGGCTGCTCTGTCAGTCTGTCCTCACTAGAGTCCAAGACTCTCAAGTCCTGCAGCAACGTCGACGGTCGACCACCACCGCGGTCTGCTGCCCGCAGCCCGCCCCAGACCCCTGTCGAGGTCAAAACTATCGAGCAGGGGTACTCCATGACCAACGCGGACCCAGGTTTGACAAGCTGCCCTTTCTTTTTGCACGGAGCAGATGCCAGGTCCCTTCGGATCAGCAGAGTAGGTATTGTCGAGCAGGTGGTCAATCAGCGAACGATATGCGCCCATCAGCCAACTTTGTCCGGAAACTGGGCTGTGATTGCCGACTGTGTAAAATGTGTTCTGGAAATGCCCATCGTGTTTCTCAAAGTACCATTCTTTGTCGGAAAGGTGACTGTCAGCCAGCCATGCATTGTGCTTTCCGAGTCCGATGGAGGCTGAACAAGAACACCCAGCCAAAGTACCCTGTAGTTATCGCAGGTCGGCGCGCATGCTGATGTCGCGGATTCGGTGGAGAGTAGAGAACCGCACTCAAGGTGGCCTCTATCCGTGCCGCGGTACTCCGTAGTGTTTGCCGCCTCTTCTTCACTGCTTCTGGAAGGGCATCGGAATCTAAGAAAAGAAAGGCAGTCGAGTCCTTCGCCTGGCCCGGTATCCAGAGTAGTTGCGAGGCAGGGCAGACACCTGCATCGCCGCATCGCATCGCCCAATGCAAGATGCGCTGACCTGACATCCCATCCGACACTTCACTCCCGGTCTCTTCCAGTATACACATTCGATTATCAGCTGGCAACCGTTTGCAGTTTGCTGTCAAGTGGTTCTTTTTTTCGCCACGGGCTGGACTGCGATCCGAATGAGCCAAAGAACGGCCTCCTCCAAGACCCGGTGGTAATCTCAAGCCACCGTCTTTTGCTGGGCAGAAAATAGGGACTGGAGAGGGAGAAGAGAGACGGACCAAATGAGACGAAGACGCACACCTCGTTCTTTGGGGCGGTCCCTTTGATCAGGGGTTGGCCTTGTCGCGCTATGGACACTCGCCCCAGCGACACGCATACGCTTCCGTCACCTTCCAGTAAGATCCTCAGGGGCATGAATGCTCACTTCCTCGATGTCCCCTGCGCAAGACAAGAGTGATGAAGCTCCATCTTGATAGAAGGAAAGGCTGGCAGATATCTCTGGCCGTTCTTTTTCTGGTGGTGCTTTGGTTATAACATATTTGATACACGCAAGCGCCAGCTTCACGTCGCGATGCGTGATGGAGGCTCATGGCTTGGGATGCCCACACACAATGAGGTGGGGGAGCTGGCTCCGGGACTCGAGCATAGTTCCGACCCACCACAAGGGGCGGGGGGTCTGGCCCCCCTTGCCCTTCCCAGGTCGTCGATTTGAGTGCGACGATCAGACATCTACGACTGTATCAAAAGAGCTGCCGTCTGTTGCGCACCGTTTCCTTTGTCTAGACTCTCCAGCAGTTGCAACTTGCGAGCTATCGCCATGTAAGCACGCAAGTAGATACTCGCGGCTCTTTTTGACCGCTGTCAAATGTAGTGCGCGATGCGTTTGCATGCTTGGCTGAGTGAGATGGTGCGATGGCAAGTAGCCACAATCGTCCCCGATGCCCATCGATCCTAGCTGGGGGGTGTGTGTCGTCAGATACGGGTGGTGTCTTTGGTGACGCCATTCCCTTGCCAATCGAGCCTCTCTGTCCGGTATGACAAAGTCCAAACTCGCACCATCATCGCCTCCGATGGAGACCAGAAGCCCCCTCATGTTGGCCGAAGTGGTCGATCGATGCTGACTGGTTGCTTGTTTTTATTTCTTTCTTGCTGTTGAATCTTCTTGATCGTCATATCAACTGGTTTCTGTGCGTAGCTAGTTCCCGCACTGGCAGTTCGAAACTTTGGAGGGGACCCGCAGATCGTCCAAGGGAAGTGGGCTGTTGGCATCCCAAATCCTGTCCAGGCACGCCAGGATGCTTCACATTGCCCTCAAGGTCCCGGGTTAGAGCATCGTTTCGACATTGAAGAGAGAAAAGATCGGAGGCGGCGACAGAGGTGCAGAGGTTGTGCGCGAATTTGTTAGCTGCATAACCCTCGCCCGTGCCGTTCAAGCGGGAACAAAAGCGCAAACTCTAAGCCCATACCAAGTCGCTGCTTTCGTCCATTCCAATGTGTATCTCATGTCAAAGGCCCTAAAGGCAACACACATGCAAATGTGGAGGAGAGCACGGTGGCAATCCCACGACCCCGAGCGCACAACAGCAACGGTGCCATCTAGATCACCAAGACCAGAAGGGGGAAAAGGTATTCTGGGATAGAATGCGGAGGTGAATGAGGGACTCGCTCTATCACGTCAGGGATTACCGCGTGGGAGCACAACGGCGGGCAGAAGGTTGGAAGGTGGGTTGCTTTACAACCGTGCTGCGTTGACCTTGTTCGAACTTGTTTCGTCTGCTTTTCCCCCTAGATGACCTTCCATCGATGGGAAGAGATATCGTCTCACAGCGTGACCGCCCAACGTTCGTCGCAATGCAGTTGCCATCGCCAACTCTCTCTGTACTGTATACTCTGCCTTGGAGTGATAGACAACATCGTCCAAGCCCGGCGGCGATCCCTGCGCAGCGTCCTTAATAGAACATGATCTCGAGTGTGCTCCTTTCTCTCTCTCTCGTTTGAGAACCAGGCGTGCCAGGGTATTTCGAGCTGATGCGGCGTCGTGTAGTCGGTTGCTAGCCTCGCTGCTTTCGCTGCACGGTTTTTATGTATTACTTCGTGTTGTTCAGTAGCTTTCACAACAGTGCTGCCTCGTTTCTCCGTATGCGCGACGACCCTGTCTGCTTGTCAGCCACTTTGGCTGGGGAAGCGGGGTGGCCCAAGACGTAAGGCTTTGAACGAGATACAGACGACTGACCGCGGACACGTTCCCGTGCCGATTTGATTGCATTTCTTTCAGAATCCGAATGTATTCTTCAACTGCGAGAAAGATATCGTCCTCTTAAGTTGAAGAAACTGGTTGATGCGACAGGATTCAACTCATGGTTTCGATAGCACTCTGCAATACCGATGAGAACCCTGGCGGTGATCGTTCCAGACACGGGCCAATACTGCGAAGTACCGATTCAACGTTGGCGTAAACGTCACCAGATGTCCAGAACACCAGTCAATCATCCGAGCTGGACCCGGGCGAGAAATAGCTTGTGTGTATCTCTCTGAACTGCGCCAGCAAGAGAGGGGGGTTGTTCGACGACTGCCATGCCTGATTGAAGCGTAGAATACGAAAAGGGGAAAAAAAAAGCAATAAATTCAGCGCAGCTTTGGTACGCTCACCAGCTGCCTCGAACCATTGGAGCTGTTTAACGGATCAAGGATCTGGCTGATGGTGTTGCCGACCCCTGCTGGGCTGAGAGGACCCCGAAGATGCAGCGCCAATGGACGAGTGATGTGCTAGTGAGGCGATCGACTTGACCGAGACTGGATGTCAGCCACGCGCACGCCAGTACAAAGTAGCCTGCGCCTCTTCCATCTGGCGGCCCCCCCGGCAGTGTCGCTAGTTCGAGCACCCACGCCATCGAATAGTGCAAGCGGCCACTTGGTGAAGGCGTTGGACGGCTGGCGGCATGGCGAGCCAGGAGGACAATCTGCCCTTCTGCCACGGCTCTTGACCATACATATAGGTACTGGGATGCGCGAGGGTGATGGCCTATGATGACAGAGCGGTGGCTCTTCAAAGCTGCGGAAGATTTCGAGTGGCCAGTGAAGAAGCGGTAAGTATGGAGACTCTCTTCAGGCTCATCAAATCGAGTAGCAACAAGGGCGAGGCGAGAAGTCGGTGCGAAAACAGAGACATGTTGAACAAAGATTGGCCCGACGGATCAAGGTCAAGGCTCCCCCCCGTCCGTTGTATGCTGGGCCGTCCACACTTGAAACGGATATGCTATTTTGGCGACCAAGGTACACGGCGGGCAGTGGGGCACCTGGCATAATCTGATGAAGCCTTCTCTGGATGTGTATGTGTCTGCGTCTGCGTCTGTGTCTCTACGCGTGCGTGAAGGCTGTCTGCTTGTCCTATTTGTCTCTCCTTCTCGGCTCTTGCAGCATCACCTAGCATCTGTCATTCAATGCAGTGCGTTTTGGGCGTGCAGCGCCGCCAGCTGGTACAAGGTGCGGCAGGTCTGCGACACGCCTACGCCGGGTGCTGCTGCAGAGCCATTGGAAAAGAAGCAGTATAGGTGGCATGGCCCAAGGACTCAAAGAGGGACGGGGTGGGTTGGTCTGGAGTCGAGGGCCGCGAGAGGAGCCAAGCGCAGCGGGAGACGCTTTGCTTTTCTGACATGGCCGGACGATTGTTTGGCAGAAGAAGAGCCCCTTCCAAAAGCTGGCCCGTTAGCTGTCCTTCACTTCCCACCCTGCAGCTTTGATGCTGACTACTCGCCCACGGCCGAGGCGGATGAGCTGAGCTACGTGGCCGAGACTTGGCTGGAGAGTCTTTTGATTCTGTGCGTTGGTGAAGGTGAGAGCCGTTTGGCGCTCTTGATAACAAGAGTGTACTGGTAGTCAGTCCAGCAAACGGCCTCACACTCCGTACATGCAGCCGAAGGCTGAAGGCCACGATTGCGAATAGGATGACAAGTTGGAACCTGTTTCTTAGTCAGGGACGGGGGCCATATGCCAGATTCGGATCCGGAAGAAAGAAAGCTGGTGGTGGTGGAAGTAGTGGTTGAGTCGAGGACGGAGCTACACCGATAGTATGTGCAGCTTGACGTGGCTGGAACGAGACGAGTCTGGGGACGTAACCTTATTGCGCGCGGTTCAACCAGTCACGGTCTTCTTCTGCTCAATGGTCTGACAGTCAACCGGGAGCTCGAACGGAGAGAAGGATTGATTTTTTTTTTGGGGTGTCAAAACGGCCGTGAAGCGAGAGAACATGTCTGGGCTGATAGGCTGGTTGGTTGGTCTTGTGATGATGTTGGTCTGATAGGATAAGCCCAGGGTTGAGGATCTACCTTATCCAAGGCCGGTACCGCGACTGGTTTCCTGGCGATAGTGGTTCACGCACACCGGGAGACGATGCAAGGTAATCCGAAAGAGAGGGGAATAAAGAAAAGAAAATGGAGAGGAAATAGTAGAAGCACCCCTCAAAACACAAGAAAGAGACCAGCCGTTGGTCGCGCGAAGAAGTGGAAGCGTGTGTAACCATGACTTGTCGCCGTTGCTCACCGTTGCTGCCCAGAATATATTGGCAGCGCAGAGTGATGTAATCAAAAGGCGGCGAGTACGAAGTAAAGTAGACCTGAGCATCTTGGAGGACCAAAGGCAGGCACAGGCAAGACTCAGGACACAGGACACAGCAGTGGCAGGCACGAATGCAGTTGGGTTGGGCGGGTTACCACACTTCTTTCTCTCCCACGCAGGTTGCGACTTCTTGCTGTAAGGTGAGGGAAGGCAGTTGACCACCTCCATCCATTCAGAAGCAACGGGACGCCAAGTATCAGTCACCGGCAAGGTTAGGCAAGTACCGAATGGGACCCAGACACATTATGATTGGGCCTGACCGAGAGAAAGAAGGGGGGGGGGGGGGCGTGATCTGAGGTACCTTGGACATGGAAGGAGAGTGGGGGGGGGGGTAAATAGAATCGAAGGGGGAGAGAGGAGGGGAGGGGACTTTCCCTTCCTGCTGGTTCTGGGTTGGGATTTTCTTAGCTGGAGATCCTCTGCAACGACCAAGCTGCTATTCTCTCTGAGGCAAATACGGCAAGGCAAGGAGGTACCTTGGACACCAAGAGGTACATCCGAAATCCTAGGGACGAATGATGCGCAGATGGGAGGGAGAACTGCAACTACACCTCAGGTACGGTAGTACTCACCATTCTCATCATCGTGTTCCTAATTTTCCATCGAGTTGAAGGATGTACCCAATGCAGATAGCAATCAATCAAACAGACGCTGCCTTTATATCTTTTTCAAAAGTCTCTGGAAATGATTCTTGGCAGAATGAAATTGATCATTCCCAAGGATAGAGTCTCGCTCTATTTTATTTGTTTTCATCTCTCCTCACAATCAAGGTAGCCTCACCTTGCCACTCCACGATGGGGAATGGGGACAAGAGTAAACGTAGAAGCAGGTAGATTAGAACTAGCAGGGGGAAAAAAAAAAGACCAAAAAATCGCAGATCTCGTCCGTTTGATGTTCCCAAAGTGCCAACACCTTGTTTTTCTTTTTAGGTTGGAGCCGGTTTAGAAGAACCTAATTAACTCAGGTCCCTGACTGATGTCCACGGGCAGCCTTTACACTTTCTTCCCCCCCTGCTACCTTACCTTATCCCACCTCTACGGCCTATTTCGTACGGAGTATTCGACTGGATACCTGGGCTTGCTTCAGAGCCTCTAACTCTTGACTCTCTGCAATCCAACCAACACCCGACTTGCTTGTTAGTCATCCACGGCTACCAACAAGGCGATCAACCCCTGCAGTTCACCTTATATTTCTGCTGCATTTTCTGATCGCGAGGGTTCATACTGCGTGACTTGCTCACTGATCAGTGTGGTGAGGCAGGCAATCTCTCATACTTTTGTGTGACACTTGCTTGTGCTCATCTCGCCGCATTAAGAGAGAGTGAAGCACCTTATTTTGGCAAGGTTTCGTAGCAAGCGTCGCGCAAGGCCCAATGGCCGGTCCCGAGTTCAGATGATTGCTAGCCGTTGCCTTTGAGGGTCCCTTTACTTTTGCCCTCCAAACACCCAAACGCCGACCCTGTCCACCCGGACTTGCTCTGATTGTGTCGCTTCTTCAAAGTTCTTGGGTTGGGAAAACCACTCTCAGATGCAGTGCGTGGTGAGATGCACGGCCTGCGCCAACCCCAGAGTCCCCGGATGGAGGAGTGAGGGTACGGACCGTCGTCGAGGAAACCCAACATGGACCATCATGGTCCCAGGGCCTGGCTGGACCCCGATCGATCATGGTGGGAAAGTTGGTCACAAATAAGAGAGTGAGAGGGAGAGGGGGAGGGGGAGGGTATGGGGAATTTGGCTGCCTCCTCTGCGATGAGTAATGTGTGACTCGAAGAACGACGAGACGGATCATCTATCTGTACCCTGAGATCACTGAGATTAACTTACTCGCTGAACTAGGGGAATAAGGCGAGTTGCGACATGCAAACATGGCAGATCGAAACGGCTCCCGTGGACGGCCCCTTGGTGTCTGATCATGCCCACCGGCACACTTCCCAACACCTGCTGCAGGTTAACTTACAAGACCAGATTGAAACCGTGATACCCAGGCGTGCCAGGCCTCGTCGCCGTGGCCCGGATAACGCCCATTCTGACCCCGGTTCGGAGCCGCAGGAGCCATGTCGTCCGGGGTTAGTTGACTATGGCAGTATCTGCTGAAGACATGGCATCTTGGACTTGGGAACAGGCTATCAGGCCGATCGATGGATTGATGTTGAGAATGGCGTTGTCGCAGAGTCGGGTGTCTCCAGTCTACCTGCTTCACTTTGTCAGTCATGGAACTGGTCACTTGTCTGTATCAGTACGGGACAATGCTGAGGTGTGTGGTATGCTCGATAGACAGAGAGGGAGGCAGTGGTGGGCACTAGCTTGACTGAAATCTGGGACTCGCAGGGTGCCCGTGGACCCGTGCATCCGTGCCTCCGCGCCCTTGTTATTTTCTCCTCCCGGCACGCATGTACTTCGTCCCGTTTCGCTGCAACGCTTTCCTCATATTGAGATGGATCGATGTGGATGAGCCTAATACCAACGTCCATTCCTTGGTCCCGGTTCTTGCGGCTTGCCCGCCGCCTTGAACGTCCCCGTTGAACTCGAGCGTTCAACGCACCTCCATCTTGCACAATCCTATTTTCGCCTCTGATAGAATCCGAATGACTCTTTGGAAAAGTACGGATTGCCAGCAGATACACCGCCAGGTCACGTCTCCATACCGCCGCGGTCACTTGGCACAAGCTCAGGTACCTCCTCCCACCTTGTGAGAAGCAGGCCGTCACGGCTTGATCATCTTGGGTCTAGCGCCCCATGTGTGCAATTGAACTAGACAGGGATGACCCTGGAGCTTTTTGTGCAGCGTGTCCAGGGAAAAAGCAGCAACTTGAGCCACGAGCCGTGAGCCTCGAGCTTTTTGAGCCTTTTCTCTCTGTCTCTCTCTCTCGCGCTCTCTCTCTTTCTCCCTTTCTCTCTTAGATTTGGGTTTGGGTTCCTTAAGAGGGTCCCCGTTCCGTCGATGCTAGGTGTGCCCTTCCTGCCCACAAAGAGACGCGCAGACGTACACATACTCCATGGGCCAATTACGCATGGCTTTTCCCCTGCTGCAGATGCCATGTGAGGTTCCTTTTTGCGTAAAGTGCCGGGAGTCCTTGCGGTCAAGATTCTCCCTCACCAATCCTCTGTAGTCTGTAGTCTGTAGTCTGTACAATACGGATATGCAAAGCATCGATGCAAGGGCAGATGTCCCCTGTTAAGTTGCTGTGTTTGCAACTTCTCCTCAGTATGTATCCGTAGGCACATCGGCTTTGTCTCCTACACTGGAACAGGAATGCCAGTGTGACGGGGGCAAGAGGGATAAAGCAACTAGGTAACCGCTGAAACGTGAATCGGGGAATGCGTGGGCGGGAAGGCCTCGGACTTGAGGACCATGTTGCTGGGACGTGGGGATCTGGGAGACAAGACGACGGGCGAATAAAATGACAAGAGTGGGACGGTAGAATGGTTCAACTGGTAGTGGAAGCAGAAAAAGGAATAGGAATGAAAGCCAACTTGCCCACTCGGGAAGCAAGACGAGAGGGAAGGGGATAAGAAGAAATGAGGCAAAGACAAACGAGGCCCGTCCCAGCAAAAAACGTAGATAGACGGGTGGCCTGCATCTACGAATATACTAAGGTAGGTATTCCGGCACTAGGCCTATGTATCCGTTCGTACTTTGTAGAGGGGGAGGAACTCGCCAGTGGGCCAATGTCTTGCCATGGCTGGACTCGACAGAGACATTGGATTGTGTCGACGGAAAGAGTGCTGGCTCTGCGAGGCTGCAAGAATGCGCAGCGTGACCATTGAAAGCTGGAGAAGTTGACTCCCGCTCATGAGCGCCCGGCATAGAAATGGAGCGGAATGTAGAAAGGGTCTGTTGGTACCTGGTATTCGTACGAAGAATAGCCAATGGCTGGAGCGAGATGAAGAATCGGGGACGTCGAAATTCCTCTACATTCCTCTGCCAGAGGTATCGCGGATTGCCCGGGGCAGGTCCCTGGTAATTGGGAACAGACGAGGTGCCGTGGACGGTGGCGTAGCCGTGCCGGTCCTGGCTTGCCTTGCCCTGCTCACCGGGTGATGTAAATCACTGGCGAGCGAGACGCGTGACCAGGGGTTTCGAGAGATGGCCATGGCCATGGGATTTGCTCCTCCACGATCTGCTGGCGAGGGCTCATGGCGATCGTCACGTCGCAATGTGGTCTGCCAGTCTGGTGAATTGATGGTGGATATCCGATAAGTGGCTCGTCCAGGCCGAGGAGCTGAAGAGAGATGAACAGTAATACTCTATATTCGTAAAGTAATCATGGCCGCCCCCGAAGCTGAAAACCTTTTGGAATGGCCTCAGAGGGGAGGGGAGACAGAAAGAGAGGGCCAAGGCAAGGCCAAGGCAGGGTACATCAGACATACGGGGTCCGGTATTGAGGTTGGCTCTGACCCTGGCCCCCGGCACTGACCCCTTCGGTCTGTCTGTACTTTGTACCGTCGTCGGTTGGCACGGAGCGGAAGAAGCTCTCAAATGTTAGATGAAGCAGATGAGGCGAGGACACCACCACACTCGCACCATGTCGTTCGTCAACCTCGTTCGTTTCCGAGGAGTTATTCTGGTAGGTATGCCTCAAGTGTCCGGTACGTAGGTGAGATATAAGGTATAAAGTACAGGTGTACAGGGCAGATAACCGTAGACTGTGTAAGGTATGTACCACATTCGTTTTGGCCGGTTGTCAATTGCTTGCCCGGAGGGCCTGGGCTCGAGCTTCGAGGTACCTTACACAGGTGAACACGGTCTAGAGTTGGCTACCAGGTTGTATCGTGTTAGCACCCATGATACCGTCAAGAGTCTGGCGGACCACGTTGACCGCTTCCCACACCGCTGCGCTGATAGACTGGTACATGCTGACCGAATGCTGGCCTCTTGCTTCGCACGTATCTCAGCAACTGAAGATGTTGTCGCGAGAGCATAGGGCTCCGAACCAGGTTCAATGAGTAAGAGGAACGGACGGTGAGAATGACAAGATTGGTAGAGTGGTAGGTAAGTAGACCAGAAAGTGGCAGAGAGGGCTGCTGGTGGCATTGTGGACGAGTGAGAGGCAGACAGAGAATGTGCGTGTGTCTAAGGTAT